AGGGAGAGAGGAAGAGAGGAAGAGAGGGAGAGAGGGAGAGAGAGAGAAGAGAGGTCTTCCATCCGATGGTTCACTCCCCAGATGGCCGCAACAGCCGGGGCTGCGCTGATCCGAAGCCAGGAGCTTCTTCTGGGTCTCCCACGCGGGTGCAGAGGCCCAAGGACTTGGGCCCTCTTCTATTGCTTTCCCAGGCCATAGCAGAGAGCTGGATCAGAAGTGGAGCAGCCGGGTCTTGAGCCGGCATATAGGATGCCGGCACCTCAGGCAGTGGCTTTACCCACTACGCCACAGCCCCAGCCCCTAGATTTGCATTCTGGCTTCAATTCTGATTCCAGCTTCCTGCTTATGCATACCCTGGGAGGTAGATGATGGCTTAAGTACTTGGGTCCCTGACATCTATGTGGGAGAAACCGACTACATTCCAGACTCCTGGCTCTGGTCTGGCCCAGCCACAGCCATTACAGCATTTGAAGAGTGACCAGAAAATGAAAAGATCTACCTTTCAAATAAATAAACAAAAATTTAAAAAATAAAACACCTAATTTGAAAAGGATCAGCTGCAATGTAAATTTTATTTTTTTATAGATGTATTTATTTATTTATTAGAAAGGCAGTGTTTACAGAGAGAGGAGACAGAAATTTCCATCTGCTGGTTCACTCCCCAAATTTCCACAATGCCCAGGGCTGAGCCAGGCCGAAGCCAGGAACCATGAGCTTCATCTGGGTTTCCCACGTGGGTGCCGGGATCCAAGTGCTTGAGCCATCCTCCGCTGCTTTGCCAGGCACATTAGCAGGGAGCTGGATCAGAAGTGGAGCAGCCAAGACGGGAACCAGTGCCCACATGGGATGCCAGCATCAGTTTTACCAGCTATGCCACAACATTGGCTCCAGAATATAAATTTTAATAAGCATTTGTTTAAAGAGATCTAAGTTGGTCTTAGTAATAACATGATTTTATATTAACCACTAACCACTTTGTTATGTGCCCCATAGTACAAAAACACCCTCATGTATACCCTCCATCCTATCTCGAACTCCACTATTGGAACAATTTCCTAACAAGTCTCTTCACTGTCATCCAGCTTCCATGTCACGACTAGCTAAATCAGAATGTACTAAGTATCTGCATTGTGCCAGGTACTGTTCTAGGTGCTTAGAATAGAATTAAAGAACCCCAACCCTCAGGGACTTCAATCTGGTCCAGGAGACAGAAAAACCAAATCCTATCACTTCAGGTAGTAAATGCGCTACTAAATGAAAGCAAGCAGAACAGGAGGTCAACTACAGCAAATCGAGAAAGCAGTCAGGTAAGCCCTCTCCAAGGTGAATGACATGACATGACAGGTAACATCTACCCACAACTGCACTGTTCTGATTATCTGGAAAAGCCGTGATGATGTATCTCTAGAGGCTACATCGATAGGCAGCAAGCATTCCATAATCTATGAGAAGTGATTCTGTGTAGCAAAGTATAAGATGAACAAATAATAGTGAGACAAACAATGAAGCAAGAAAATGAATTCCAACTTCTTTTGGCAAAGTAGCATCATGGAAATAAGGGAAGGTATCTGGCCTGGCGGTTATGACACATCCCACATTGTGTACCAGGGTTCAATACCTGACTCTGGCTCCTGACTCCAGCTTCCTGCTAGTACACACTCTAGGAAAAGTGATAACTGGGTCCCTGTCACCCACGTGGAAGAACTGGATTGAGTTCCTGGTTCCCAGCTTTGGACCAGCCAGCCCAAGCTACTGTGGGGCAACTGGGAAGAGATCAGTGGATAGCAGCACTCTGTCTCTGTTAAGCAATACTTCAATAGAACATACTGTTGTTCTAGGGAAAGTCACACCAAAGGGAGGGAAGCAGTCAGATGTTCAGGGCAAACCCTCTTCTTCAAGAGCCTAGACCCACATTTCTGATTCTATCACTCTCTTCAGTAACTCTTCACAGTAATTCAATTGGGCTGAATGAGACGCTGTACCCTGGCAACAAACTGCTTTACCATTTGTGTTTCCCGGGGTTTTCTCGCAGGCACTCAGTATTCCAAGAAAACCAAGCACCTCAGTGAATGTTCTGCCCTCTATCTACACAGGGAGAAGGATTGCCTTCTCACTGTATCTACTAAAGTCCTATCCTTCAGAGCCTATCTCAAGTAGAACATGACACGAATATTATATCCCCAGAGAAGTGGTATCACATTCCTCAAACTCCCTTTTTGGTCTTAAACACCTGATGTTTAATAATTTGTGTTCTTGTTTTATTCCTCCAACTGGCTCAAGCTTCTTTAGAAAATCCCATACAGCATGTTTTCCAGTGTAGGTGCTCTTTATTCATGTTTCTTCAATATACAGGAGACTCAAGAAGACACAGAACTTGGCTGATCAGAAAAATTTAAGAAGGCAACAGTCCTACTTGGAGTAGTTCTAAGAGGAGAAGAGTAAAGCACAGACTAATTCCGTTCAAACTCTGGGTTAGCCACCAACTTAATGTGAACCCCAAGGAAACTGACTTCTCTGAGCCTCAGTTTCCGCATCTGTAAAATGGTGAGACTATCCCCTAACTAAAAGGTTAGAGTATGAAACGGAGTTCACACACAAGAACACACTTAACAACGCCTGGCACATAGTAAGTATGTATGTTAGCTGCCATTATGTTTATCAATACTTCTCTGGAAGCCAGTTTCTCCATCAGATCTCTTTCAACTCAAGAATTTCATACCAAAGTCCCACAAAATACTGAAGATGTTAGAGATCGCTATGAGTTGACAAGTGAGGGTAAGCATCTTAAGGAAACTTGAACCCAGACAAAGCACAGAAATATACAAGTTAGGAAAAGATATGCAAAGGAGGGAACTAGTGAGGGCTAGGAAGTGAGACTAAGAGTAGAATACAAGATGGTAACTGTGTTTTGGGCAATGGTGGAAAATAAGACAGGATAAAGGCAGAAGACTTAGAGCAGGCATTTAACCCCAAATTCAAGAAACCCACGTCCCACACAGGCATCACCTGTTGTTTTATACTTGGCTTTGGTTCCTGATTCCAGCTTCCTACTAACGCAGACCCAAAGGGGCAGCAGTGGTTGGGTTCCTGCCACCTGTATGAGAGATCTGAATTGAGTTCCCACCTCCTGGCTTTGGTCTGGCCCAGCCCAAACCAGCTGTCCCAGGCATTTGGGGAGTGAACCAGCAGATGAGAACTAGCTCACTGTCTCCCTGATAATCAAAAGAAGAAGAAAAGAGTGGACTAGAAACATCTGATTATATCAACCATATCATCACTTGTATTTTCATAGCTGGGAGAATTACAGTGACAGTTGATTAGCAATTTCTCCACCTAATAATGAAAACGTTATCCTTGAGAACATCTGGCATGCTGTCAGTGCTTTAATGAGGATCTGTATAAAATTTAGAAATTTCATCATTCTCCTAAGGTCAAATGTAAGTAATTGCTGAGTTATAGTTATTATAGAAGTATAACTATACCTTTAGAAGTATATTTTAGAAGTATACCTTAGCTTAAAGATCCAGAGTTGATTATACAACTATCATTGTGATAAAATGCAAATTTAAAGAACCATGCTAGTACTCTGCTAATACTACTATAACGTAAGCCAGACCTTATCACCCCTCGGCTCAAAAATTCTCAGATGGCTCCCATCCCACAGAAAGCAAAGGTGCAATCCTTCCATTAGCCTAAAAGGCCCTGGTTGTTCTGTCCATCCTCTTCCCTGCTTCCTTGACCTTATCTCCTGCTCCAAACACATGGATCTTTTTACTGTTCCTCCAACAAGCCAGCCTTGTCCTCCCCTTGTGCTCCCTGCTCCCTTCCCCAGATGCAGACAGGGCTCATCCCCTCACCTCCTCCAGTCGGTCTGTAAGGGGCTCCCTGACCGCGCCTGCAAACTGCAACATCCCTCACCCCCTTTCTAGCTTTACATCTTTGATCACGTTCCTAGCACACAGTCAGACACACGCAGGTCTCTCTTCTCCCCACTAGAAGGTAACTTTCATGGGGGCACAGGCTTTCCCTAACGCCTAGAACACACTACGCACCAACTACAGCATTTCTTTAACGGATTACAAATTAGGACTAGGTAAATAATACTCCTTTTAGGTACGGGAAAATGCCACCTTCTTACCCAGCTTAAGGCCTGCAAATCATTTTTTTGTACAAAACACTTACTGCTCACCTTCTTTGTGCCAGAACTGGGCGTGGCTCTGAAAAGTTTCAGGGAATTAAGACCTAGGACCTGCCCTTTAGGAGCTCCTGGGTGTGTATATACTGGAGAGAACCCATACGGAAACATCATTTACAAGAACATGCAAGGCAGACACAGGAAAGTGAATGACAGCCTAAAAGAGTGGCGGCAAAGAGGAAAATGCCCCCTAAGGTGACAGGGAGCCTCCGATTTCCCCAAACTCTAACAGGTACACTAGTTTTTCTTACATTTCTTTGTACACATACTTGCTTTATTTACTCACATCAGGCAGACTCTAAATCTTAAGTAGGCCGCAAAAAACTTTGTGTGATGCTCATCACTGATCTACTCCAGACTGCAAAGAGCACCGACTGTGTCTTTCACAGTCGTCTGATCTGGAAACTTGGGACTGTCGGAAGCCCCCGACCTGGGCACCTGCATGTCCCGAATGACGCCAGCTTAGGGCAGACTCTCCCCGTGGCTCTCCCCGCATCGGAGCCCGGCACCCTGCAAATCCCTTCCCTCTCCCGGCAGGCGCCACCTCCGGAAAGCCGCCAACTGGGCCTCGCTCAGAGTTGAGAGAGAAGCGGGAGCCGCGGGAGGCAGACGCGGATCGCAAGGCTCCCTAAAGGCCTCAGCCCGCACTCCCACTCCTTCCCGGGCCCCCGCACGCCGCTGCCCGAGGCTCCGCCGACTCTTTGTTAAGCGAGGCCGCGGTTCCAGGTCTCTCGCTAGGCCCCACAGTTGCCTCCAGTGCCCCCAAGGGTTAGCGGCCGCGCGTCCCGACCCCGCTCGCACAAACCTGCTGCTAGGGCTGCAGCGGCAGCCGGTACCACAGCCGCCGCCGAGAGAATCCGACGGACCCAAGTACGCGCGGGCTGGACCCCGTCCCGCCGCGCTCCGCCCTCTCCGCCCCCTTCGCAGCCGCTGCCGCCGCCGCCGCCTCACGGCCCGTTGCTGACGGGGAGGGGGAGGGGAACGCTCGCCAGACATGCGCAGAGGGGAGAGTGCGGCCGAAGGGCGGGGCCTGAGGCTACGGCGCCGGAAGGCGTCCTGACTCCCCTTCTTTAAAGCTCCGGAATGGCTCGCGGCTCCTCACACCTTGACAGGAAACCGCTGCTTGGTGAAGAGCGCTTATGGCTTGCCTAGCAAGTGGATATGGAAATAAAAGAGTAGGGCTGTCAGACAACCACCCAGAGATCCCAAGTGAAAAGAGGCTTGGACGGAAACACTTTTATAAAAATGTCGATTCCCTTCACTGTGGTCCCTTCCAGACACAACTTGAGCAATATTTTTCCACACGGCTGTGACCACGTGGTCCCGTGCAGCATGGCCACCTTTTGCTTCCGGAGCACCGGTTCAGAGCGCCGTCACTCGACTGAACCCGGGCGGAGAGGGCTAGGGCCGGAGAGGGTAGTTCCGGCCCAGGGGCGGGGATTATGTAATTTTCCCAGCAGTCCCACCTCACCTCAAATGGGCGTGGGAGATAGAGCGCGGGCCCGCCCCCCAGCCGCGCGCAGGCGCCGACGGGCCGCACGCATTCTACGTAACGGACGGCGGAGGCTACGTGAAGAGTGGCGCGGCGTGACTGCGCTACCTTGTCCGCCAGGGTCCTGGAGGCGTCGCGGACAGGAAGACCGCGGCGGCGGTGGAGACAGTGGCCAGGCTGAGAGGCAGGCGGGTGGAAGTGGCGGCCGCAGGAGTGCTGGGCCGGGTTTTAGCCTCGGGCGCAGGTAGGTAGTGGCCTCTGACGTCTTCGTAGGTGCGGCCCGGCCAGGCCGAGCGGTGGCTGAGTTGCGTGGCCCGGAGCCCGGCCGGGTTTCTCAGCCAGCGAGCCCTGAAGTCCGGCCGGTGGTAACACGCACTGCACCCCGCGCCCTCAGACCTCTCCCGTCTTTGTATATTAAAAAAAAAGGGGGGGCCAAGAGAGTCGCGGTTCCCCCTTTCCTTGCCTGTTTTCTGTTGGCGGTTAGGGGCTGGGTAATTTTAGTGGTTTTCGGGATCTTTCCTGCAGCGCGGTGAGCCAATGCCGTAGCTGTAGAGGAATTCACAGGGTGCAGCAGGATCGGAGCTCGACATTAGACGAGTTGACTCTCCGTGCTGGAGAGAGACTGGACGACAGGCGCAGTCGTGTTTTTATCCAGCACGAGTAAGGATTCAGGATTGTCAGCGTGATTCCTGCGAGTCCCGTGTTGTGGCCGCCGGCAGGAAGGCCTCGTCTCTAACGGCAACACGGAGTGAGCGCTCCCCTTCTCGTCCGGACTCAGCCGCTGGGCGACTACTGGGCCTGACTTGTTCCCCTGCACCCTTGTTGGAGACCGGGAGGCTGGCAGGGAGTCGTGCATTTGAGAAGTGAGTTGACAGGTGCAGCCCCAGAGACGGAGGAGGGAAGGCCGTGGCACAGATGGTGTGGATAACTTTAACCAAATAACCTTGGAGGAGCCCTGGTACAGAGCTGAGTTATCTTAGAAATGCTTCTGTGGTGTGGACATTCCAAGTGGAAACTGAGTTTAAAATGATCAGACCTTTGATTCGTCAGACTTAGTCACGTTGACTACACCAGTGTTAACCTTTTGTTGCTTCTGTCTGAAGAGCTTAAGACTAGGATCTGAAGAGGGAAACACTAAATTAAAAGACAGCTTTTTTTTTTTTTTTTAAGATTTATTTATTTAAAGTCAGAATTACGCAGAGAGAGAGAAAGATCTTCCATCCGCCGGTAACTCCTCAGTTGGCCGTACCGGAGAGAGCTAGGCCAATGCAAAGCCAGGAGCTTCTTCCGGGTCTCTCACGTGACTGCAGGAACCCAAGGACTTGGGCTGTCTTCCACTGCTGCTATCCCAGGCCACAGCAGAGAGCTGGATTGGAAGTGGAGCAGCTGGAACTTGAACCAGTGCCCATATGGGATGTCGGCACTGCAGGCAGCAGCTTTACCTGGTACGCCACAGTGCCGGCCCCAAAAGAAAGCTTTTAAATTTATTTATTTTCTTCGTATTTATTTGAAAGTCAGAATGATAGTTAGGGGGAAAGAATCTTCCATCTACTGGGTCACTCCCCCGATGGCCACAACAGCCAGGTCTGTGCCAGGGATACCATCCATTCCTCATGGGTGGCAGGAGTCCAAGCACTTCCGCCATCATCTGCTGCCTTTCCAGACACATAAGCAGTACTGGATCTGGTGCCTGGATAAAGGACGCCAGCGTAGCAGGTGGCAGCCTCATCCACTGTTAACACAGTCCCCACCTTTATTGTTCTTTATCTCTGTTAAGGATGGCTTTGGGGCTGGCACTTTGGCACAGCAGGTTAAGTTGCATCTGCAGTGCTAGCATCCCATATGGGCACCGACCACTTCCGATCCAGCTCCCTGTCAAGGCACCTGGGAGAGAAGATGGCCCAAGTCCTTAGGCCCCTGCACCCACGTGGAAGAACTGGAAGAAGTTCCTGGCTCCTGGCCCAGGCCTGGCTGTTGCGGCCATTGAGGAGTGAACCATTGGATAGAAGATCTCTTTCTCTCTCTGTAACTCTCTTTCAGATAAATAAATAAATCTTGAAAAAAAAAAAAAAAGAAGATGGCTTTATCCACTTATTCATAAGTTTTCCCGGAGTTTCCTATTTCTAGTCACTTTATATCATTCTGTAATATCTGTCAGATTAGTTTTCCTCCTCATTCCCACATTGTCAGTTTAATATTATTTTACCTATTTATCTTAGCCATTTACATTGCCTGCCTCAAGTATTCTCAGGTTCACTCTACTTATACACTGTCAGGGTTAAGCTACAAACTGGGTAGTGTCACTCTTGTATTTTAAAATGCTTTAGTGCAGGGACCAGCATTGTCGTGAAGCAGGTTAAGCTGCCCGCTGTGACATGGGCATCCATATGAGCAATGTTCCAGTCCTTGCTGGTCCACTTCTTCTTCTTTTAAATTTATTTATTTGAAAGGCAGAGTTACAAAGAGGCAGAGGCAGAGAGAGTCTTTCATCCACTGGTCCCCTCCCCAGATGGCTGCAACGGCTGGAGCTGTGCAGTTCGGAAGTCAGGAGCCAAGAGCTTCTCCTAGGTCTCCTATGTGGCTGTAAAAGCCCAAGGACTTGGGTCATCTTCTGCTGCTTTCCCAGCCAAGAGCGGAGAGCCAGATTGGAAATGGAGCAGCCAGGACTCGAACCAGCGCCCATATGGGATGCCGACACTGCAAGCAGGGTCTCTACCGGCTATGCCACAGTGCCGGCCCCATGATCCACTTCTGATCCAACTCCCCGCTGATGTGCCTTGGGAGAGCAGCAGAGGTTGGCCCAAGTGCTTGGGCTCCTGCACCCACCTGGGAGACCTGAAAGAAGCTCCTGGCTCTTGGTTTCAATCTGGCCCAGTCCCAGCCATTGTGACCATTTAGGGAGTGAACCAGTGGATGAAAGATCTCTCGCTCTCTATTTCTCTCTCTGTAACTCTGTCTTTCAAATAAATCTTTTAAAAAAATGCTTTAGTGGGGCTGGCGCTGTGGCATAGTGCCATATGAGTGCCAGTATGAGCCCTGACTGTTCCACTTGTGATCCAGCTCTCTGCTATGGCCTGGGAAAGCAGTAGAAGATGGCCCAAGTCCTTGGGCCCTTGCACCGTGTGGGAGGCCCAGAAGAAGCTCCTGACTCCTGGCTTCAGATCGGCACAGCTCCAAGCTGTTGCATCCAGCTGGGGAGTTGTGGTGAGAGATGGAAGACCTCTCTCTGCCTCTCCTCTGTGTAACTCTGACTCTCAAATAAACAATCTTTAAAAAAAATGCTTTAGTGTCCTATTAATATGAACTTCCTTGGTGTGATATTTAAATAAGGTTAATTATGATCTGGCCCCTGTTGCCTTTCCAGGCTCATTTCCCCTACTTGGGTCTACAGACCCAGTACTCTATCCCATTAATTCCTCATGTGGTATTTCAGGAACCCTCTCTGCCACAGCTGTTCCTTATTCTGCAGTGCCTCTTCTCTGGTATAGGAGCCATACTTCTATTTTTATTTAAGAGTTGGTTTCTTTTATGGGTGGGCATTGTTGCGTAGTGTATTAAGCCACTGCTTGGGATACCTGTATCCCATGTTGGAATACCTGGGTTCAAGTTCTGCCTCTACTTCTCATCTAGTTCCTACTAATACACTCCACTGGAGGCAGAGCTGATGAAGGCTTAAGTAGAAAAGTCCCTGTCACTCTTATGGGAGACCTGGATAGATTTCCTGGCTCCTGGCTTTGGCCTAGCCCAGCCGGAGCTGTTGAGGATATTTGGGGATGTACCAACAAATAGAAGGTTCTTTCTCTTTCCCTCTGTCTTTCAAATAAATAAAAATGAGTAAACTTTACAATTTTTTTATTTTAATTACGAAAATATGTTGTAAAAAAAAAAACAAAATACCCAGAATCCTATCATATAAACTAGTATTTTATGTAGATGTATGTTTTTTCTAAACCTTTTTCTTTATGTAATTTGCTTTTTGTTCTTTAAGATTTATTTATTTACTTGAAAATCAGAGAGACAGAATATCTTGTCTGCTGGTTCACTCCCTGAATGGCTGCAATGATTAGGATGAAGCCAGGAACTTCATTGGAGTCTCCCACACGGGTGCAGGAGCCCAAGCACTTGGGCCATCTTCCACTGCTTTCCAAGGCCATAGCAGAGAGCTGGATCGGAAGAGGAGCAGCCAGGACTAGAACCGGCGCCCATATGGGATGCCAGCGCTTCAGGCCAGGGCTTTAACCTGCTGTACCACAGCGCCACCCCGTAACTCTGACTTTCAAGTAAATAAATAAATCTTTAAAAAATTTAAAAAAAAAAATACAGCCTAAATATTTTTAATGATTAAAATCTGACTACTTTTCAAATTCCATCTCAGATTCCTTACCTGCTTGGTGAAAAGGTAGTATTGGCCTCCGTGTTGTTATCATTTAGCACATATTTTTGTCACTGTTGTGATTTCATTCTATCTATTCAAAAACTCATTCAGTTATTAGAATACTTAGTGTTCTTTTCTGAAAGCTATAAAATTCTGACATGTTGAATTCCATCATATACTCCAGGGAGCTGTTAGATAGCAGAAAATTACTAATTTAAGTAAGTGATATAAAAATTGCAGTTATCCACTTGCATTTGAGAAGCAGCCTGAGTAGCTTCTTGAGGTAAAAATCAAATCAGATCCCAGCTTTGTTGGTTGGTAGTTACACTGCTTAGCAACTCTTGGCCTTATATCCTTATCTGTGGGATGGGGATACTAACTCTGCTTTCCTCAGAGGGTTGTTGGGAAGATGAAAGGAGGTTTTTATGTTGTAAGATTTATTAATTTGAGAGGTAGAATTGCAGACAGAGAAAGGGAGAGACAGCGAGATCTTCTGTCTGCTGGTTCACTCCTCAAATGGCCACAAAAGCCAGAGCTGAGCCTATCCGAAGTCAGGAGCTTCCTCCAGGCCTCCCATGCAGGTGTAGGAGCCCAAGTACTTGGGCCATCCTCCACTGCCTTCCCAGGCCAGAGAAGAGCGCTGACTTTCAAATAAATAAATAATCTTTATTTATAAATCTTTACTAAATCATGGGTAAAGCCTCTGCCTGCAGTGCCAGCATCCTATATGGGCGCCAGTTTGAGTCCCGGCTGCTCCACTTCTGGTCCAGCTCTCTGCTATGGCCTGGGAAAGCAGTAGAAGATGGCCCACGTACTTGGTCCCCTGCACCCGTGTGGGAGACCCGGAAGAAGCTCCTGGCACCTGCCTTCTACTCTGACCTTTGTGGCCAATTGGGGAGTGAACCAGTGGATGGGAGACCTCTCCCTCTCAGCCTTTTCTCTATGTAACTCTTGACTTTTAAATAAATAAATAGATCTTAAAAAAAAGTGGAGCAGCCGGAACTTGAACCAGTGCCCATATGGAATGCCAGCACAACAAGCCATGGCTTCGCCTGCTACACCACAGTGCTGGCTCCAGGAGTTTTTTTGTTTGTTTGTTTTGTTTTGTGGTTTGGTTTGGCTGCTTTCTATGGAGTTTAGAACCACGCTTAGCACTTAGTGTTTTACGTGTTTGCTCTTTTGGTAATAATGACCACATGACGGTGATCTAAGGATGGGTGGCATCTTATGCCTTCATCATATCCCTTTCTTGGTTTCTAATAAAAAGCCTCTTGTAAGCTGTCAAAAAATGCTTTTTAAATACTCAGTGTAAGTGGAAGCAGTTTTAGAGGACGTGATGTAAGGAAAGTAAATGACTTGTCCAAAATTCTTCTGAAAACTAATGACGGAATCTAGCTTGGATCCCAAGCCTTTTGACCTCACTTCATTGTTCTTTATATAAATGTTACCTGAATTGAATATGAATTAATGAGAAAAGTAGGAGATACTTTTGAGGTTTTTTTTTTTTCTGACTGCAAATTTGATCAGTATACATGGTAAGTCAATCTATTTTAGGGTTGTTTTTTTTCTTAAGCTTGTTTTTAAGGTGCAATGAAAGCCTTCCATGCTTTCTGTGTTGTCCTCTTGGTGTTCGGGAGTGTCTCTGAAGCCAAGTTTGATGATTTTGAGGATGAGGAAGACATAGTGGAGTATGACGATAATGACTTTGCTGAATTTGAGGATGTCCTGGAAGATTCTGTTACTGAGTCTCCTCAACGAGTGGTAACTACTGAAGATGATGAAGACGAGACAACTGTCGAATTGGAAGGGCAGGATGAAAACCAAGAGGGAGACTTTGAAGATGCAGATACTCAGGTGAGGTTCCTTTTTATTGATTTCCTGGGGAATCAGAAGGATTTACAAACATTTAAACTAAGACTCAGGTCTAGAGAAACCTCTCTGGAATCTTCATTTTTGTTCAATGAATAGAGCAAGTCTTCTAAATGGTGGCGTATTCCTGCCTTTTATATTGATAGAGCAAACTTTTCTGCTAGCTGGGAGAGGGGCTGGGGAGTGGATGCTGTGTGTGGGTGAGAATTGTGTCATTTACAGATTTGGATTCAAAAGTATGGGGAGCCATTACTTGGGTGTTTTTGTTTGCCCCTGCTTTACTGAGGTATTATTGACAAGTAAAAACTGTTTGTATTTAAGGTGTACAACATGGTGTTTTGATATGCACACGCCATGTGAAATGATTACCACAGTCAAGCTAAGTAACAACTTACCTCACATGGTTGCCTTTTGTGTGTCTGGTGAGAATACTTAAGTTCTACTCTCAGCAAAATTCAAGTATCCAATACATTATTATTCACTGTAGTCACCAGGCTGTATATTGAGTCTCAAGAACTTATTTATCTTATAACTGAAAATTTGTAGCTTTTTATCAATTTTTAATGTAATATTTGTATGTTCTGTGCTTGCTGCATGTTTTCTTCTGTTAAGTGTTGCCCACAAATAAGACATGACTGCTGGTGACATTTGTGGAATAAAACAGATTGTGCTTCATTTTTGTAGGAGGGAGATACAGAAAGCGAGCCATACGATGATGAAGAATTTGAAGGTTATGAAGACAAACCAGATACTACTTCTAGCAAAAATAAAGACCCAATAACAATTGTTGATGTATGTATACAGGATTCTGAGTTCCAAACTGATCAACAAAATATCTTGCTGGCATTAATCCCAGAAATATAATTGGTGACATAGAACTGGTGTTGATACAATAGTGAGAGCTGGGAAAGTGCTTGACAGCCATTCTTATGATTAAGATCCACATCTAAAGAAGCGACTCTATTTTTATTGTAGCCCTCGTCATTTTTCTTACTAAGGAATAGGCAAATGGATATACCTTGGATTTATTTTAGGATAGGACTCAGAATCAAGTTTAGTACAGTTTTTCAGCTTCCCAACCAAGTGTCTTTCCATTTTCTTTTATAAAGCTGACCTAGGAAAGCAAAATGGGCATATTTTTCAAAATTTAACCATATTCTGGGGCAGTTATATAAAGTATCACATATTTATAGGTTTTCTCATTCTTCATCCCATGAGTTACACTCCATCCTTTAGCCTCAGCCAACATAAATGATTTTGCTTCTTTAGGTTCCTGCACACCTCCAGAACAGTTGGGAGAGTTATTATCTAGAAATTTTGATGGTGACTGGTCTGCTTGCCTATATCATGAACTACATCATTGGGAAGAATAAAAATAGTCGCCTTGCACAGGCCTGGTTTAACACTCATAGAGAGCTTTTGGAGAGCAACTTTACATTAGTGGGTAAGTTAGGCCATTGCAAGTCCAGCTGCCTACTTGAAAAATAATGTGGTAAGAACAGTTATATGCCTCAGTATGCGCCTCTGATTTCATCGACTGCTGGAGAAGTGGTATTTTTTTTCTCCCACGGATCCCATTTTGTTAGATTTATATACTGAATAATTTACATTTATTTCCTCATCTTTCATTCTAGTTATACTGTTAATCAACAGTATAATTGCTAAACAGCCTCTGATTAAAATAGTATAATCAGTGTTTTCAAAACAAGTTTACAAAATTCTGGCTAAAACCAAGACATTTTTATATTTTATGTAGCTTGATTAATGCCTTCAGTTCATCTTTTAGAAATTGGGAATCCCTCAGAATTCCCTCAGATTCTAGGCACTTTAGTTTTGGAGCCACTGACGAGGTGAACTGAGGCACTTTGAGGAATGTCTGTAATTGTGTTGTAGGGAGGCCACATTTACCTCTGCCTGGCATTCAGGGCTTGCAGAGTGAGCAGGTGTCTACTGCTGTACTCACTAGCAGACTATTTATTATGCTAGCTACTTTACATACTTTGTTTCCTATTTGTTCTTTGTAACAACACTGTTAGTTGGAGATGGTTTCTATTTTCCTTAAGGGAACTGAAGAGCATAAAAGTTAAAACTTACCGAAACTATTGAATTGCAACCACACGAGTAGGACCTATCTGCCTATTTCCAAAGTCCCTGCTTTCTCCCCTGTACCATGTCATTTTAGAGCGAGCAGCCCCCTTTGCTCCTCACACATCACCTCAGCTTGTTTTCGTTTGGCTTGTCAGCCTCCTTACCTGGTGAGGCTAAACAGTCTCTTTTGTATGGTTAATGAATTAAGTGAACAAGGAAATTATTGGAATTTGAGCTTTTTATTGATCTAAAATAGAACTCTTACTACCACTGATAAGTCCCAGTTATCATTTTGCTGTTGGAAAAGAAAACGTCATTAAAGTTAACTCATTGAAGACCCTGTGAGAGAGTGTTGAGTAGTTTGTACTAATGGTACTTTTTTTTTTATTCACTGGGTAGAAGTTTTATTTTGTCTCATTTTTTATTTACTCAGATTCATTCTCTGAGCTGATCATCATTAGACTAAAAGGGACATAGAAGTAATGCCAGAGTTAATCTTTTTATTTTTGGACAACAGGGTTTCAAAAAATAAAAGCAGTAGTGCTGATCTATTTTAATTTCTGTCCAAATGAGAATTCTATAAACTAGTGAAGTATGGCTGCCTTGAAGCTACAGTCCTTCCGGGGTCAGGACATAGGAGGTGTGGCAGTTAGGCCCCAGCATTTTCAGTGCATCCCATTGATTGATTTTACCCCTAGGGGATGATGGAACAAATAAAGAAGCCACAAGCACGGGGAAGCTGAACCAGGAGAATGAGCACATCTACAACCTGTGGTGTTCTGGGCGGGTGTGCTGTGAAGGAATGCTTATCCAGCTGAGGGTAAGTACGGAAGTTGGGATACAATTGTATCTTCTCTTAATTTCTTCCTAATCCTCCAAATTCAGCATCTCCTCTCTTCATGTCTGACTTAAATGAGTCCTAAAAACTGTGTTTCTCTTAATTGGCAAAGGTGTTGTAGAATATATTTGATATGAAATATTTGATGTCCCCTCTTTATGGTAAGTAGAAGATGTAACTGTATTAACTCCTCCTTCTCGTTTTCTTAGTTCCTCAAGAGACAAGACTTACTGAATGTCCTGGCCCGGATGATGAGACCAGTGAGTGATCAAGTGGTATGTATTCTTCCTGTTGGTTTTCTGTAAACAAACAATTCTTAGAGCTTATTCCATTTCTGCTACATCATGTTTGGAGTTTCTGGTAGCTGTGTCTATGCCAAAAAGTGACTCTTCTGTTCAGACACTTTATTAGTAAGTTTTGTGTTACTCTAACTAGAATACTTGGGGCAGACATTTAGCCTAGCAGTTACAACGCTCACATCCCACATCTGAGGCCTGACTTTGATGACCAGCTCTGGCTCTCGATTCCAGGTTCTGCCCGGGAGGCAGCAGTGAAGGATCAAGTAATTGGATTCCTGTCACTCAGCAGTTGAGTTCCTGCAACCCACATGGGAGAACTGAATTGCTTTCCCAGCTCTGGCTTTGTCCCAGTCCCAGGTCTTGCCATTGTGGGCATTTGGGAAAGAAACAGCAGATGGGAGCTCTTAATATTTTTTCTGGCTCTATCTCTGTCTGCCTCTCAAATAAATAAATAAATATTGAAAACTAAAATACCTGAGAGGAGCTACTTGGGAAGGAAGCCTCCAGCTTAATTCATCTATTGTTAACATTAATTAAGACTTTGTGGACCATTGCCTCCAATTCCTGGGCCTTTCAGGGAAACTCAACTGATTATAGACTTTCTGCCATATAGTAACACAATTATGGGCTTGATATCCCACTTAAGGAGGATGCTTTATATACAAGAGGGTGGCAACCTTTTTTTTTTCTTTCTTTCTTTCTTTCTTTCTTAAGATTTATTTATTTGAAAGACAGAATTACAGATTACAGAGAGGGTGAGACAGAAAGAGATCTTCCATCCACTGGTTCACTCCCCACATGGCCACAATGATCTGGACTGGGCCGGCTGAAGCTAGAAACCTGGAACTCCATCCAGGTGTCCCAAGTGGGTGGCAGGGCCTGCCCAGACACATTGGAAGGGAGCCCTATCAGAAGTGGAACAGCTGGACTTGAACCACTGCTCATGGGATGCTAGTATTGCTGTACCACAGTGCTAGCCCCAAGGATGGAAATCTTAAGGACCATTTAGAAATTTTCCTGCCACAGAAACTAACAAGTGAGGTGTTTTTTTTTTTTTTTTTTTCAATTCTCTCTCTTTTTTTTTTTTTTTAAGCAAATAAAAGTAACCATGAATGATGAAGACATGGATACCTACGTGTTTGCTGTTGGCACACGGAAAGCTTTGGTACGACTGCAGAAGGAGATGCAGGATCTGGTATGTCAAGTGTTTCCCACCCCCCCAAAAAAAAAATATATATATATAGAGAGAGAGAGAGAGAGAGCCTCTTTATTATGTAACTGTTCAATTTTATAAACTGGGATGAATTATCACTTCAAAGTGTTGAGGACCACTTTGAAATAAGTCAGTACATATCCTTTTCAGAAAAAAATAAGTATGTGCATAACGAAGTGTTCCAATTATTTCCTCTTCTAGAGTGAGTTTTGTAGTGATAAACCTAAGTCTGGAGCGAAGTATGGACTGCCTGATTCTCTGGCCATCTTGTCAGAGATGGGAGAAGTGACAGAGGGAATGATGGATACGAAGGTAAGTGCAGTAGACTGCGTCCTTTCCCGGACCTTGGTGTTGATGGGGCACTCCCCGACAGTCATGCTGCACAAGGCTTCATTTTATGGCAAAGCACTCTTACATATTCCTCTCCCACACAGTTATTAAAATATCTCGTTTAATAGTAGGTTAACTTGTCAAAAGCACAGTTTGATTGTCAAGAAGTTCTCTCTAAATCAAGAGCAAATTGTTCTTGGTATTGTTAATGACTTTGAGGATTTTTGAGAAAGGAAGATAACTTTAATTATTTTTACCATGTCATATAATCCGTAGTTTTGACCTTCATTTAGTTGAGAGAGAGATGTAAAGAGTTGTTTCTTTAAATTGGTTGTATAGTGGTCACACACACCTCAGTATCATAAAAATACAGGAAAACTCGATGATAATTCTAAATTTAAGTTCGAGGTGACATGTTTAATTTTTTTTTTATTTATTTATTTTTATCTTTGACAGGCAGAGTAGACAGTGAAAGAGAGAGAGACAGAGAGAAAGGTCTTCCTTTTGCCGTTGTTTCACCCTCCAATGGCCACTGCGGCCGGCGCATCACGCTGATCCGAAGCCAGGAGCCAGGTGCTTCTCCTGGTCTTCCATGCGGGTGCAGGGCCCAAGCACTTGGGCCATCCTCCACTGCACTCCCTGGCCATAGCAGAGAGCTGGACTGGAAGAGGGGCAACCGGGACAGAATCCGGCGCCCCGACTGGGACTAGAACCTAGTGTGCCGGCGCCGCTAGGCAAAGGATTAGCCTATTGAGCCACAGCGCTGGCCAAGGTGACATGTTTAGAAAGAATTCCGGCTGGTGCCGCAGCTCACTAGGCCAATCCTCCACCTGCGGCGCCAGCACCCCGGCTTCTAGTCCCGGTCGGGGCACCGGATTCTGTCCCGGTCGCCCCTCTTCCAGTCCAGCTCTCTGCTGTGGCCCGGGAGTGCAGTAGAGGATGGTCCAGGTCCTTGGGCCCTGAACCCACATGGGAGACCCGGAGGAGGCACCTGGCTCCTGGCTTCGGATCGGCTCAGTGTGCCGGCTGTAGCAGCCACTTGGGGGGAAGACCTTTCTCTCTGTCTCTCACTGTCCAACTCTGCCTGTCAAAAAAAAATAAAGTACTTCCCCTTTTAGAATCCCCTAAAATTATTTTAGATTTTTTTATCTTTATACTTTTATTCTTATTTAGAATATTACTTTGAGACATTTTCTGCTGCTCAGTAGGAAATTTAATCATTGGTGTGACCAAAGACAGATACTACTTTCATTTTAGATACTTAAATTTAATTCTTAAGAAGTTTTGCTTTAATGATGTGTAAAAGTAAAGTGTAAAGGATGAATATCATTATGAAAAAAGGGAAATGCATCAAACTGTACTTTTAAAAAGAATATTTTTTTCTTTTCAGATGGTTCACTTTCTTACGCATTATGCTGACAAGATTGAATCCGTTCATTTCTCAGACCAGTTCTCTGGTCCAAAAATTATGCAAGAGTACGTATGGGATGAAACTATTGAAATTAATCTTCCTCGCTGGCTTTTTGTGTTGAAACACTGGCAAGGTGCTTCTGCAATTTCCCTTACCAGAGAGGGAGGGAAGTTGCTGAAGGGCCTCCAGATTTTCCTTTGCTTTGACTGCATGCATGGTAAGAGGTCATTAAAAACCTATGGGAGGAGTGGTGCTGTGACATAGTAGGTTAAGCCTCTGCCTGCGGTGCCAGCATCCCATGTGGGTGCTGGTTCGTGTCCCTGCTGCTCCACTTCCAATCCAGCTCTCGGCTATTGGCCTGGGAAAACAGTGGAAGATGGCCCAAGTGTTTGGACCCCTGAACCACATGGAGACCTGGATGAAGCTCCTGGCTTCACATCAGCTCAGCTCTGGCTGTTGCAGCCATGTGGGGATTGAACTAACGCAGGGAGAACTTCTTTCTCTCTCCCTCTCTGTATGTAACTCTTCCTCTCGAATAAATAATTTTTTTTTTTTAAAAGAAACCAATGGGAGGCAAACAGATGAGCCTATCCTCCCCTAGTTTGCATGTGTCCCTACACATTTGCACCACCCACTCAGTGATGCAGAGCAGGTTCTAACAGAATGACAAACTATGAAAAATGCAAGTGCTATTCCCTTTTTCCTTTGTAGACGAGGTTCCTTTATTTATTTGTTATTCGTTGGTCTGCAATGTTTGACTTGGCGTTTGATTGCAAATCTGTCTTATAATTTTTAATTTTTTGGATATGTTGAATTTATTTTTGTTTTATTTAATAGGCAGAGAGACAAAGAGAGATCTTTCATCCACTGGTTTACTTCCCAAATGCCTGCAACAGTCAGGATTGGGCCATGTTGAAACCAGGAGCCGGCCGGCGCCACGGCTCACTAGGCTAATCCTCTGCCTTGCGGCGCCGGCACACCAGGTTCTAGTCCCGGTCGGGGCGCCGGATTCTGTCCTGGTTGCCCCTCTTCCAGGCCAGCTCTCTGCTGTGGCCTGGGAAGGCAGTGGAGGATGGCCCAAGTGCTTGGGCCCTGCACCCCATGGGAGAGCAGGATAAGCACCTGGCTCCTGCCTTCTGATCAGCGCAGTGCGCCGGCTGCGGCAGCCATTGAAGGATGAACCAAACCAACGGCAAAGGAAGACCTTTCTCTCTCTCTCTCTCTCTCTCTCTCTCTCTCTCTCTCTCTCACTGTCCATTCTGCCTGTTAAAAAAAAAGAAAAAGAAACCAGGAGCCAGGAACTCAATCATGGCTCTCCCATGACAGGGTCCAGAATAAATGTGCCATCTCCTGCTGTCTGCCAGGGTCTGCAGTATCATGAAGCTGGAGTCAGGAGCTAGATACAGGCATCTTAATCGCCATTCTCAGTACCCACCCTGGCTTTTCTCTTTGAATAATCGGGTGATTGTATTTTTCCTAACATACTATCAGATGTCCCCAAGGCCCATAGTTTCTGCTTTGTAGTATATTGTTCAGGTATACATATTCTGGGCTTGAACGTTTTCTTTGAATTTGTAGCCTATATCAGGAGAGCCCAATTATTCAGGTTTACCTTTGGTGTAGAATTGCCTTTGACCTGAAATTTTAATTAAGGATTACCTTCTCGTGGACTGTAGAGTGAGATTAAAAGTCTGCCTTGGGGCAAGCATTTGGCATAGGGGTTGAGACTGCTTGAGATGCCTGCATCCAGTATCAGAGTGCCTGGGTTCAAGTCCCAGCTCTCCTCTTCATTCCAGCTTCCTGCTAAGACACAACTCTAGGAGGCAACAGGTGATAACTCAAGTATTTGGATCCCTGCCACCCATGAGGGAGACTTGGATTACGTTCTCAACTCCTAGCTTGGGCCTGACCCTAGTGCTACCATTGTGGATATTTGGGGAGTGATCTAGCAGATAGAAGATCTGGGTCTTTCTTTTCTTTTTCTTTCTTTTCTCCTTCCTTCCTTTCTTATTTTTATTGATTTATTGATTTGAAATGCAGAATTATCAGATAGAAAGAGATGTTCCATCTGCTACTTCACACTTCAAATGGCTACAATGGCCAGGGCTGGGCCAGACTGAAGTCAGGAGCCAGGAGTTTCTTCCACATCTCCCATGTGGGTGCAGGGGCCCAAGCACTTGAGCCATCTTCCATTGCTTTCCCAGGCACATTAGCGGGGAACTGGATCAGAAGTGGAGGAGCCGGGTCTCAAACTGGTACCCATATGGGATGCTGGTATTGAAAGCGGCAGCTTTTTACCTGTTATGCCACAATGCCAGCCACTGCCTTTCTTTTCTTTTTCTTTTTTCTTTTTTTTAAAAGATTTATTTATCTATCTGAAAGTGAGAGTTACAAAGAGAGAGGAGAGGCAGAGAGAGAGAGTTCTTCCATCTGCTGGTTCACTTCCCAATCGGCCGCATCAGCCAGAGCTGTGCTGATCAGGAGCTAGGAGCCTCTTCTGGGTCTCTCATGTGGGTGCAGGACCTAAGGACTTGGGCCATCTTCCACTGCTTTCCCAGGCCATAGCAGAGAGCTGGATCATAGTGGAGCAGCTGGAACTTGAACCAGTGCCCATAAGGGATGCCGGCACTGCAGGCAGCAACCTTACCCACTACACCAAAGCGCAGCCTCAAGCCCCTGCCTTTCAAATAAATAAATAAATAAAGTGAAATAAATTGTTTTTTAAAGCCAGTCTGGATTTTAGTTGTATGTCAAGATACTCAGGTCGCTATGCCTGTGTATGATGTTGCATCATCCTTTGCTTGCTAAACTCAGTAGCAGCACTAGGGGAGAATCAGAGCATTTCTAGAGCCTTTTATGTTGGAGAGAGGGTGGTTGGAGGTCAAAGATTACAAAGGCAATCTTCTATGACAGAACTAAATTACATATGCTGTAGTGGATTATCTGTAAGTTTATTCTGAGTCTTAGGTCTAAGATAAGATTACTTGTTATAAGAAAGTATGGGGGCCGGCACCGTGGTATAAAGCCACTGCCTGCAATGCCGGTATCCCATGTGGCCCCAGTTTGAGTCCTGGCTGCTCCACTTCCGATCCATTTCTGCTAAGGCCTGCGAAAGCAGTGGAGGATGGCCCAAGTCCTTGGGCCCCTGCACCTGCGTGGGAAACCTGAAAGAAGCTCCTGGCTCCTGGCTTCAGATTGGCCCAGCTCTGGCCATTGCGGCCATTTGGGAAGTGAACCAGCGGATGGAAGACCTCTCTCTCTCTCTCTTTTACTTTCTCTGGCTCTGCCTCTCTGTAACTCTGCCTTTCAAATAAGTAAATCTTTAAAAAAATAAAATTAGAAAATATGAGTTGGAAATGAAACATAAAATTCTATCAAAATAAGCAAAAATATTAATTAAAATATGTGCCTCACTCTTAAATATAGGCTCATTTCTGGCTCCCCTGGTGAGATTGTATTTACCCTACCTGCAGGGAGATGTTCAAAGATAGGATAACAATCACTTAGGAATGCACTCATCTGATAGACAAGTAGTCCAGATAACCTGTGAAGTTCCTTCAGCCTCAGATCATGTTTGTCTTGATGATGCCAAGCCAAATACTGTCCTGATGATTTGTAGGTATTGTTCATCTAAGAGAACTAGGTGGTTTGTGTGCATGGAAATTATCTTTCTTATGTTGCTTCTTAATTGCCTATTCTTTTATGACAGGGAAGGTCAGCCCTTAAAGCTACCTGACACGAAGAGGACACTATTGTTTACATTTAATGGTAAGTATTCTTGGGCTTGTTTGGGTTTGAAGTTTAAGGTTTATTTATGTATTTATTTGAAAGGCAGAGATATCTTCCATCTGCTGGTTCCCTCCTCATATGGCTGTGATGCATCTCCCACATGAGTAGCAGGGGCCCAAGAACTTGGGCCATCTTCTTCTGCTTTTCCAGGTGCATTAGCAGGGAGCTGGATCAGAAGCAGAGCAGCCTGGACTTGAACTGGCTCTCAGATGTGGGTGCCAGTGTCATAGGCGGCAGCTTAACCTGTTGTACCTGAACAGGTTAAACTGGTTCCCTTTAATTTCCCATTTTTCTACTGCATATTAACTACCTAAGAAACTAGGGAAAAGGATGTTATTATTAACAACAAAAAAATAGTTGGGTGACATAGAAGTATTAATGCTGCCATTAACTCAGTGGGAAAATGGCTTTCTTTTCCAGTGCCTGGCTCAGGTAACACTTACCCAAAGGATATGGAGGCTTTGCTACCCCTAATGAACATGGTGATTTATTCTATTGACAAAGCCAAAAAGTTCCGACTCAACAGAGAAGTAAGACCCAACGCCTGAATTATAAATTGGCACCTTTTATTGTTTCTTTGTTTTATTTTATTTTCCTTTATTTTTTTGCCTTGTGGGAAGCAGGCTGTCAGTGATTTCAGTGATTGAATCTTTGCTAGTTTACTTGAAAGTACTGAATGGGAGTAGTTTTATGAAAGAATGTTAAGCAGGAAATTGTTGGGTAAAAATGGATTTCTTATGGAAAACTTTGTTTCTTGGGGAAAGGGCAAACAGAAAGCAGATAAGAACCGTGCTCGAGTGGAAGAGAACTTCTTGAAGCTAACCCATGTGCAGAGACAGGAGGCTGCACAGTCCCGGCGAGAGGAGAAGAAAAGAGCAGAGAAGGAGCGAATCATGAACGAGGAAGATCCCGAGAAACAGCGCAGGCTGGAGGTAATGCAAACTTTCCCTGCCATCGGGGAAACTGAAACTTGGACGCAGGCCTGTTTGCACCACAGTGGCTATTAAGGTGATTCTGTGTAGGAATGTAAACAGCCTAAAAGTTAGGCGTTTTCTCAGTGTTTGGAACATTTTGTCAATAGATAGCTCTACGAAGATGGTTAAATAATCCTTCCTCTTCAGCCATGATGTATGAAACCTGTGAACCTGGCAAGTGCTCTGAATTATCCATTGCCCCAGCACAGTCTCCTTTTCAAAGTTCCACTGTCATCTTTCAAGCCAAATATTTATAGAAAGAAATTATGAATTTTAATAGTACTAGCACATGTGCCTTATGGGCTAAATAAACTTGATACATTAAATCCAAAATTTGATTACAGAATTAGAGGAGTAATTTTTTTTTTGCATAACTAGAAAAGCTCAAAAGCGTTTTAGGCTTCAGTTTGTTATGTTCCAAAGTTCAGCATGTTCTGATAGTTTTGTGAAATAGGATGCCATAGTCCAGCTCTAAAAACATTCTTTTTTTTAGAGATTTATTTATTTGAAAGTCAGAGTTATACAGGGAGAGAGGAGAGGCAGAAAGAGAGAGAGAGGTCTTCCATCAGCTGGTTCACTCCCCAATTGGCCGCAACGACCGGAGCTGTGCCAATCCGAAGCCAGGAGCCAGGTGCCTCCTCCAGGTCTCCCACATGGGTGCACGAGCCCAAGGACTTGGGCCATCTTCTACTGCTTCCTAGGCCATAGCAGAGAGCTGGATTGGAAATGGAGCAGCAGGGACTCAAACCAGCGCCCACATGGGATGCCGGCACTGCAGGCGGCGGCCTTACCGACTACGCCGCAGCACCAGCACCAGCCCCTAAAAACATTCTTAAAAAGGTTTACATGTCTTTAGATTAAAACAAATGATTTATTTGAAAGTCAGAGTGGTGCCAGCACAGTGGCATAATGAATAAAGCCACCGTCTGTAGCAGGAGACTAATGGTGGCAGCAGGAGACAGAGAAAGTGATCTTTCATCCGCTGGTTCTTTCCCCAGATGGCTACAACCACCAGGCCTGAGCCAGGCCAAAGCCAGGAGCCAGGAACTCCATCTGGGTCTCCATGTAAGTGGCAGAGCCCAAGTACTGGGGCCATGACCTGCTGCCTCCCAAGGTACACATTAGCAGGAAGCTTGAATGATGGTGGAGCCAGGACTCCAAAAGAGGCACTTTGATATGGAATGCAGGTGCCCTGTAGTGGTAGCATTTAACCACTGTGCCAAATACCTGCCCCCAGCTCTGGAATTTTAATTTACCTTGTTAATGCTGTTTAAAAAGAGAACAGGGTCAACATTCTGGCACAGCTGGTTAATGTACCACTTGCAACGTTGGCATCCCATATTCAAGTGTGCATTCCAAGTCCTGGCTGCTCTATTTCCAATTCGGCTCCCTGCTAATATGCCTGGGAAAGCAGCTGATGATATCCCAAGTATTTGGGCTATTGCCATCCATGTGGGAGACCTAATTAGAGTTCCAGGTCCCACATTTTGCATTTTTTAATTATTAAAGGTGAACATTTTTCATATGTATTGGCCTTAACATAAATATATTTCTTAAGTATATTAACATAAATATATTTCTTTGCTATGGCACTATATTCTATGTATCAGTATAGAGAATAAAGATGAATAATGGAGCCGGCACTGTGAAGTAGTGGGTTAAGCTGCCGCCTGCAGTGCCAGTATCCCATGTGGGTGTTGGTTCAAGACCCAGCTGCTCCACTTCCTGTCCAGCTCTCTGCTATGGCCTGGGAAAGCAGTGGAAGATGACCCAAGTCCTTGGGCCCTTGCACCCATGTGGGAGACCTGGAAGAAGCTCCAGGCTCCTGGCTTCAGATTGGCACAGCTCCTGTCATTGTGGCCAATTGGGGAGTGAACCAGCAGATGAAAGACTTCTCTCTTTCTCTCTCTGTCCCTCTCCCTCTCTCTATCTCTCTCTCCCTCTCCATAGTACTAGAAAGGAAAGAATGAATATGGTAGAGGTAAGGGTTGGGAAGATGGCAAGAGGACACTGGAACATACTTTGACTACTTTATGTAGCTGCCCTGGAATAAGATAGCTTTTGACATACGCGCTCTCACGGCCAGCACCATGGCTCACTTGGCTAATCCTCCGATTGTTGCGCCGGCACCCCGGGTTCTAGTCCCGGTCGGGGCGCCGGATTCTGTCCCGGTTGCTCCTCTTCCAGGCCAGCTCTCTGCTGTGGCCTGGGAAGGCAGTGGAGGATGGCCCAGGTCCTTGGGCCCTGCACCCGCATGGGAGACCAGGAGGAAGCACCTGGCTTCTGCCTTCGCATCAGCGCAGCACACCGGCCGTAGGGGCCATTTGTGGGGTGAACCAATGGAAGGAAGACCTTTCTCTCTTCTCTCTCTCTCTCTCTCACTGTCTATCTGCCTGTCAAAAAAAAAAAAAAAAAAAAAAAAGGCTGGCGCCGCGGCTCACTAGGCTAATCCTCCGCCTTGCGGCGCCGGCACACTGGGTTCTAGTCCCGGTCAGGGTGCCGGATTCTGTCCCAGTTTCTCCTCTTCCAGGCCAGCTCTCTGCTGTGGCCAGGGAGTGCAGTGGAGGATGGCCCAAGTGCTTGGGCCCTGCACCCCATGGGAGACCAGGAGAAGCACCTGGCTCCTGCCATTGGATCAGCGCGGTGCGCCAGCCGCGGCGGCCATTGGAGGGTGAACCAACGGCAAAAGGAAGACCTTTCTCTCTGTCTCTCTCTCTCACTGTCCACTCTGCCTGTCAAAAAAAAAAAAAAAAAAAAAAAAAAAAAAAAGCACTGAGATACGCGCTCTTACTACTTGCTTGCTACTGGGTCCTCACAGAAGGCAGCAGCACTGCCAGAGTAGATGAATCCAGACTCAGAATGCATTTTCCTGCAAGAGTGGCATTAATATTGGTGGTTGCGTTCTTCAGGCCACTTACACAGTAGCACATCTATGAATGGATAGACATTCAGGCCTACTCTATTATATAGGTGGAGCATTCTTTGTTACCTAACGTAGAAACCTAACACAGTCAATAGCTTCAAAATCTAGAATTTATAAATCTTGCTTTGAAATGTAACTGTTAGGTTATCAAGAGCTCTCCTTTATGCTATGTTCTCCTGCTTTTCCTCTTCTGTATTTTCTCAGTCCTTCTCCAGTTGAGTATATTTGTCAGAATGTTTCCACAACAATTCCCTAAAAACAGGAAATTTGAGATTGTAGCTAAAACACATTTTATTATTATTATTTAAAGATTTATTTATTTATTTATTTGAAAGTCAGAGTTACAGAGAAGGAGAGGCAGAGAGAGATCGATCTTCTATCCATAATTCTCTTCCCCAAATATCCGAAATGGCCAGGACTGGGCCAGACTGAAGTCAGGAGCCAGGAGCTTATTCTAGGTCTCCCATGTGGGTACAGGGGCCCAAGCACTTGGGGCCATCACTGCTGCTTTCCCAGGTGCAGTAGAGGAGCAGCTGGGAGTCAAACTGGCACCCATGTGGGATACCAGTGCTGCAGGAGGTGGTTTTACCCGCTATACCACAGTGTGGGCCTCTAAAATAGATTTTAATCACATGTGACCACTAATGATCAGCAGTGAGGTCATAATTTGACATGGCATCTAAGGCTGCCTTCAGTACAGGTAGTAATGACCTGAAGCTTCTTCCTCTTCTTGAATTTGATAGCCTTCTAATTGCTAAATATAAATTCCCAATTGAAAATTATGAGTTGAAGTATTGTGTTCAGGTATGCTGTTTGTGCCAATAAGAAGATATTTACAATGGATAACAAGACTCCTTCTAATTAATTAATATACTTAAAAGGCAGAGTGGCAGAGAGAAAGAGATCATTCATCTGCTAGTTTACTCCCCAAATGCTCGCAACTGCTGGGGCTGGGACAGGTTGAAACCAGGAGCCAGGAACTCCATCTGAGTCTCCCTCATGGGTGACAGAAACCCAAGTATTTGGGCCATATCTGCTGCCTCCCAGGTGTATTAACAGGAAGCTGGATCAGAAATGAAATAACTAGAACTCATTTTTTATTTACTTCTACATCATTTCAAGTTAATCTAATTTTCAGTTATTTTTATAACTTTTTTAGAGTGTTATTTATGGTGTAACCCTGTTTGTGAGTATTAGTAGTTTTGATTTGTTTAAATGTGTTTTTAGAACTTATTTTGGATTCTCTTATCTTTTCTCCCCTCCTCTCCCTCCATCCCCAGGAAGCTGCCTTGAGACGTGAGCAAAAGAAATTGGAGAAGAAGCAGATGAAAATGAAACAAATCAAAGTGAAAGCCATGTAAAGTCACTCCAGAGATCGCAATCCTAGTGCCATCTGTAAGCTCTGAATTCCCAGGAAACAAACAACACCAGTCCATTATGCATCTTAAAGTGCGGATGTTCCCAACAACTGAGAGATCCTTACTTCATCCTCTGTTCTGTTTTTGGTTTGGAATTTTACAGAAGTTGTAGATACATTGCAAGGGCTCTGTTTCCGTATTTCCTTTCAGATAATCAAATTGCTTTGATTATTTTATAAAAGGAGTGATATTTGAAATCTGTAGTTCTACAGTGTTTTAAAAACTATAATATGAATCATCAGTGCTTTTAATACTATGATATTTGAAGAAATATCATGAAATTTAGAGATGGGTAATTAGATTGTTGCTTTTATTTAAATAAGGCAGTTGAAATAGCTATGAAGACTGACTCTAAACCAAGATTTCACAATTAACTCCTGGAATTACACAATAAACATTGCTTGGTGTTTTCTTCTGTGTCTACATTAAACTTGTGAAAAAGTAAAATTTAGAATACTGTACGTGGTAGTGAGATTTCGGAGACTCAAAACATAATGTTTTGTGGGTAGGAGGTGCTGATGACAGTATTAGAGAAAATCTGTAGCTGTTAGTATACTGACATGGAAAATTCTGGGTAGGACAGGAGCCCAGTTTTCTCCTTCCCTGATGCCATGAGCTAATGACAATGTGAATGCTGTGTTTTAAGTGGTTGAATATTTTATTTTTCTTAACAAGTGCATGAAAATTAACTTTTCCACCTAAGTCAGATTAGCTATCAGGTCATTGGTCTGTGTGAAGTAACAAATGTTTCTCTTTGTTGCTGCAACCCATTGGATGTTGATGGAGAAGCTCTGTTTTCTGTATCGGCTGTGTATCTTTGCTTTTCCCTCTCTGCTTTTATCTCTTCCACAGTTGAGGCTAGGTATGTTCTTTCAAAGAAATAGCCATGGATATGCATAAATATACTTTTAAAAATGAGCTTTCTTAAGCCATTGAGAGTTCTGCTTCTTGAGGAAGAAACTCTTGGGGGAGAGGCCCATCTATCTGCACAAGCATTTCGCTTGTTCAGATCTGTGCATTTTATAAATGCTTCCTACTAAGAAAGCATTTCTTGAAGTCGCGATTGTACCAGGTAATTTTTGCCGGGGATGGGACCGGGTTGGGCTTTTTGGTGGGGGCGGGGTGCTGGGTATTTTTGGTTGATGCTTTACGTGCAAGTCTGTCTCTGAGGCAATCACAGTGAGTTGCTGTGAAAACAGCATGTGCTGCTGCCTTTGCGACTGCATGGAAAATGTTCACACTAGTTTTTCTCTAGGTTAAAACAAATATGTAAATTGAGAGATGAAAATGTAATATTTTTAACAGTTCATGAAAGTAAGTTATTAAAATAACAAAATTTAATTACTTTAATGCTATATATTATTCTAGAATTAGCCTTGTTTTACAAACCTTTACAATACACTTTAGAAATCAAAGTTGATATGCTTAGCTATCTTTTGAGTAATATAAGCTTTCTTAAGAGTCCCACACATTTGGACCATGGCAGCTAATTTTGTATTTTAAGCATTCATATGAAACTACGAATGGACGTATATTAAACTGATTAACAAAATCTCAGAGTGCCGCCTTGACTTTTCTGGAGTTGCCCATAGAAAGTTCTTTCTATTCGTTAAAAGCCAGCACTGAAATGCTTTTCCCTCAGAAGACTTGATCGTGAAAATTCACATTGTTGTTACCAGCTTTCCCTTTCAGAATGTTTATGTTTTTAGAATGGGCTCCTCACTGGAGTCCCAATCTTGAATTAAGACCCCATTATTTCTCCCATGAATGAGAGGACAAAGAGAGGAGAGTGTTGTTTGCTGGCACGTGCTGGAAAACCACTAAGCCCTCCAATTCTGCAATTCCTGTTCCCTTAACAAGGCCGAAATAAGCACTGGATTTAAAGACAGAGACCTGGCTTTCAGTGCAGCAAAACCAATCACTAGTCCTTTGACTTTGGCAGGTCATTAAGCTCTAAGTCTGCTCTCTGCATCCTTTTTTAAAATGAGGATAGTAATTGCTTTCCCTGCCTACCTTGCAAGTACTTCAACCCCAAGAGAGAATACAGATAAAATTGTTTTATAAACTTGTTAAGCACTTTACATAGGCAGGGTGTCATCTAGGACTGCTGTTCAGGTGGTGCATTTTTGCTTTACCCTCTTTTGCTTTTTTTTTCACCGAATGGACACCAAACAGATCCTTTCAGAGTTCTCAAACTTTGTCAGCAAAACTTGGTAGGGTATTTTGGGAAGAAGAGAGGAGTAGTTGATGGTTCCGTTTCCTTTTATTTATTTATTTATTTATTTATTTTTTAAGATTTGTTTTATTTATTTGAAAGGCAGAGTTAGAGACAGATAGGTCCTCCATTCGCTGGATCACTCCCCAAATAGCTGGAATGATCAGGGCTGAGCCAGGCCAAAGCCAGGAGCCCAGAGCTGCTTCATGGATGCAAGGGCCCAGGCACTTAAGCCGTCTTCCACTGCCCTCCCAGGTACATTAGCAGGGAGCTGGAGTGGGACAACTGGGACTCAAACTGGCACCCATCTGGGATGCTGGCATCACAGGCAGCGACTTGACCCACTGTGCCACAAAGCTGGCCCCTGGTGCTGTTTCCTTAATAATAGCAAACCTTTTCTATTACTTTCCCTGTTTCTTTAAATGGGACTTGGAGCAAAGAACAACATTGATACTCTCTTTCCATCCACCCTATGGAAACTGGCAATATGAACATTATTTAGAATCATGGTGTGGGGAGGAGTGAAAGACTTCCCTCTCTGGTTTCCTTGCTACTCCTGCCCTCTCTCATTTTGAGTGATGTGAAAGGATATGAGACAGAAAGCAGATATACCTATAGAAGTGGCTTCCATCTGAGATTGCTGAAACCGAAGAAGAGCAAAAACTTCTCTCTCAGTTTCTGGTGTTTACTGATCAGCCAGAGATTTAATTACATAAGGATGAAAGTTAAATGCCATCTTCTCAGCTCCATGAAATGAAAAATAATCGAATTTCAGAAGAAGACTGATGTTTTTTTCTCAAAAGGATGTGTCTATACTGCTATGCTACTTTTAAGTGACTATTACTAGTTTTTAAAGCTTATTTATGGGTCTGGTGGTATGGCGCAGCGGGTTAATGCCCTGGCTTGAAGCGCTGGCATCCAATATGGGCACCGGTTCAAGTCCTGGCTGCTCCTCTTCCAATCCAGCTCTCTGCTATGGCCTGGGAAAGCAGTGAAAGACAGCTCAAGTCCTTGGGCCCCTGCACCCGTGTGGGACCGGAAGAAGCTCCTGGCTCCTGGCTTCGGATAGGCTCCGGATGGCTGTTGTGGCCATCTGGGGAGTGAACCAGCAGATGGAAAACCTCTCTCTGTCTCTGCTTCTCTCTCTGTGTAACTCTGACTTTCGAGTAAATAAATAAATCTTTGGGAAAAAAAAAAGCTTATTTATCTGAAAGGCAGAATTTCAGAGTTCTTCTAGCCACTGGTTCCATCTTTCAAATGCCCACAACAGCCAGGACTGGGCCAGGTCTCTCTCCATGTCAGGCAGGGGCCTGAGCACTTGAGCCATCATCTGCTGCCTCCCATGGTGCATTTAGCAGGAAGCTGGATCAGAAGCACTCCAGTATTGAATCTGGGCATCCCAAGCAACCACTTAGCCCCCTGCACCCCAGTGTCAGTTCCAACCATCCTCTTTAAATTCACATAATTTAGTCTACCCAAAACGTTTAACTTTTTAATTTAAAAGACACTCCGGCCTTCTTAAGTATTCACTTTCATGGGAGCTATTTGGAAATCAGTTGTACATCTGCCTGGGTTATAGTTGTATCAGTTTTGCTTAGGGGAGAACTCTTAACTTCCTTTCCATTACATTTTAAGTGCTTCTGTAGCTTTCTCTGCATATTTTTCTTGTTTGTAGCTCTGTCATTTACAGGGTTGTAGAAAAGGTAGAATGGAAGCCAGTTTTCTGCTCCAGAAAAGAGTCCCAGGTTTGTGGGCAGAGCCCCAGGTGCTGTCCTAGTGCTTTGTAAGTGGGCATTATCTTCTCCCCTATTCTCTACAGGCTGCCTTTGAAATGTAAAATGTGCTAAAAATTAGTCTTGTTCAATTTGTTTACATCATATGTATTTCTCATTTGAGTATTATAGGCTATTAGTTTTGCATAGTTAATATATATGCAATATATACAGTATGCAATATAATAAAGGAGCTAGTGTACTTCATTTAAAATGGATACTCAGAGATTTCAAAACAAAACAAAACACCAGCATCTCCATTCCTTTTTAGGCTTTAAGCCAGTTGCAGAAGACTCCGGAAATCTTGGAGAGTCTTAACCCATACAGAGTTTGTGCATTCCAGGGCTCATAAGCTAAAAGCAAGCAGGAAAAGACATTTTGTAAACTGAAAGTTGACCTTTCATCCTACCACTTGATCTAAGGTATTTGGATTGGTATGTGGAAGACACTGCCACAGTTGCAAGAAAAACAAAAGCTAATATAAAGTTGCTCATTGAGACAGTCACAGCAGAATCTTTTTAGCTTTGGCCAACTTAAGAAGTATGCCATCCAGGAGCCACTGCTGTGGTGCAGCAGGTAAAGCCACCATCTGTGGCACCAAATGCTGGTTCTAGTCCTGGCTGCTCCACTTCCAGTCCAGCTTGCTGCTAATGCACCTGCAAAAGCAGCAGAAGGTGGCCCAAGCATTGGGCCCCTGCACCTGTGTGAGACCGGAGTGAAGCTCCTGGCTGCTGGCTTTGGCCTGGCCCAGCCCTGGCTATTGCGGCCATTTGGGGAGTGAACCAGCAGATGGAAGATCTCTGTCTCTCCCTCCCTCTCTCTCTAACTCTGCCTTTCAAATAAATATGTAAATAAATAAATCTTAAAATGTATGAGGGAATGTGATTGTGTTGCAGCATGTTAAAACAACAGGTAAAGTGATGCATGGGAAATTGCAGGAGGCCCTCAGGTGTGTGTGTGGGGTCCCAGTCAATGCGTTTCCATCAGTCAGTTTCTTTGAATGGAGCTAAACTCACCCGTCTTGGAAGCTACACCAATAGGAATCTGGAAAGGACAAGTGTGCTTGGCTTTCTGTACACTTGCTGTACGTTTCAGAGTGCCCACCCCGCGGCGGGGGAGTAAGTCACTGAGAACCCAGTCACAGCAGAGTCTTGCTCCATCGCTTGATTGCTTCAAAGCTCCGCAGGCCTTGGCTGGCGCCAAGAAAAAGGCAAACCTTTTTCTGCAAACAGCACGCCTCTAGAGTTGTGAATGAGTAAGGGTACAGGGACGAGAAGATCTAAAAAGGGGGGGGTGGGGATGATGGTTCTCATTAGTTGAGCTCTGGGGCACAGAGGAAAGGTGGGCTTCCTCTTTACAGCTATTTGGGGCCGGAGAGGTCAAAGGGAAGGGCGTTGGAGATGTGTTTCTCACTGAAGCCCTACCACACAAAAGGAAGCGGAAGTAGCCATATGAGCAGTCTGAGTGGGTTTGCCTTTCTCTAGTCCCCTTTAAGCCGCTATTATTGAAGTCGCCCTACGTCCCTTCCTGTGGGGAGCTGGAAGCTCCGGGGGCCGGGCCGGGCCGATAAGGAGGGGGAAACAGGCCCCCTCCGAGGTGAGAGGCGCCCAGCAGGTGCTGAGCGAGACAGCTGCCCGGGGACAGCCGCGCCCCTCGGGAGCGGAAGTGGGCGGAGCCTCCGCGGAGGGCGGGGCGGGGCGGGCGTTGGTGCTGGGCGGGGCGGGGCGGGGCGAGCTCTCCGCCGGCCCTCCCCGGGTGCCTCTACTGCGCATGGCACGTTGCGTACCTCCCTCCCAGCAACCGGCCTGGCGGCACCGCGGCCATAAAACTGAGGAGGCGGAGCTGAGACCGGCCGGGACTGCTCGCTAGCTCCAAGACCAGGTACCGGGCTGGCAGGGCCGCCTGGTGCGGCCCGGGAACCAGTTCCTCGTCGTCGTATCGCCGATTCCATCTCAGGGGCGGGCCTTCGTCGAAGGGGCCATCCCGGGCTCACCCTCGCCCTCGCGGGGTCCCTTTTAACCGGCGTCCTCGATTCCCGAGAAGAGGGGCCGCAGCCCAGGAGCAGAATAGGCGTGGGCCCTGCCGGGAGGTCCTGGAGCGGCGTGGTCAGGCGAGCTCCTGCGTTCCCTTCCCCAGCCCCCGCCTCGGCCGCCAGGTGGGGAGCCTCCGCTCTGGCGAAGTGGCGGCAGATCCTAGCGCTGAGCTCTCCCGCCCCTGTCCCGTCCGAGGCTTACGGACACAAGGTCCGGGTGGCAGCCTAAGTCGGCCCGAAGGAAGAGCTTCTAATTGTATTTTTGTTTCCTAAATGCCCTCCGCGTATTTGGGGCCCGAAATTGGGGAGTGGGCTAGGGAGGCGACCGTGAAGGAAGGGGGGAGGGCGATTAAATAAAATCGTTCATAGTTTTCAGGAAACGGAACGAGCCCCTCTCCCCTCCCAACCTTCTCCTAAGATCCTAGCACACTTTACCTTGCCTTCGCCCAAAGAGGAAAGCCGTTGGAATTGGTTCTCTTCTCACTGTAATACTGCGCCTGAAGTCGAACCACTTTCCACTGTGTAGACGATTCCCACTTGTCTGGAGACACCCACGCCTGCTTCTTGCCCCTGAGAGTTGACAAAGAACCCACGTTTGATCACCTGCCCTGGCCTGGCGCCTTGGTGCCAGTGCTAAGCTGGCCGTCTCAGCTTCAGTGCTTACAGTTGTAACCCCTAGACGCTGAGAAAGTCAGTTTCAAAAATACGGAGAAAGGAGAAAAGGATTTTAACTCAGAATACGTGAATTCCCCTTTCCATGCCATTTCGCGGCTGGTCCGTGGCATTTGCGAGGCTTCTTGCTGCGCTTGTCTGGCTCTGAAGCGGATGTAAGCAGCTCGCAGCCGATCCTAACGCAGATGATCGGACTGGCTGCGGCTGATCACCGCGAAGCACGCAGTACAGTCCCCAGCGCATAGCATGACCACGTACATGTTCGCTGCTTTGATTATTTTTACTATTAGGAACAGCTACCTGGGCACGTGAGCCCCTGGAAACACAACAGTGACAAGATTCATCCCCTGTCCTTAAGGAGTCTCTGTTCTAGAAGAGAGAAGTCGGCAGTTAAGACCGGGCTAAGGGTCCCATCGATTGGGGGGGGAGGGTAGTATTTGGTGCCGCAGTTGGGACCTTGTTTGGGACGCCTGCCTCCCTTGTCAAGTCCTGGCCCTGCTTCCAGTCCACCTTCCTGCTACTGTATCCTGGGAAGCAGCAGGCGATGCCTCAAGGACCATGTACCTGCCCCCGGTGTGGGAGCCCCACAAGGAGTTCCAGCTCCTGACTTCAGCCTGGCCCAGCTGCAGCTGTTAGCATTTATAAAGTAAACAAAAAAAGGGAAGATTCTTGCCCCCCCCCCCCATTTTTCTCTTTCAAATAAAAAGAGTTGAGTGGGTGAGGGGAGGCAGTGAGATCAGGGAACCTGAGGTGAGCACAGGACCTGTGAGTACCAAGAGGCGGAGCAGAGCTGGCCAGATAGACAGGAGGTGGTCATGAAGGGGAGCGGGGTTTTCTCTGGGTTCCATTTCCTATCTCTTTCAAGAGCCCTGCCCTAACTAGGCCCTATCCCAGGGCTTGCTTCCCAGCCCCCTGCTTGTCTCCTTTAGTGAATGTCGCTCACTCTTAAAGCTTTAGTTGCTGACTCTCATGTCCACATGGCCATCTCTTAGACATCTCTAATGTCTCTAATGCACCAGTCCTGCTTAACTGAATGCCAGATACAAGGGAGCTTCTAAAGTGCATGGAAAAATCTAATTAAAAGAAATTTATTTGGGAGCTGGTATTGTAGTGCAGTGGGTTAAGCTGCTTTCTGTGACGCCAGCATCCCATATCAGGGTACTGGTACCACTTCAGATCCAGCTCCCTGCTATGGACGTGGAAAGATGGTAGAGGGTGGCCCAAATATTCGGGCCCCTGCCACCCATGTGAGAGACCCCGATGGAGTTCCAAGCTCCTGGCTTTGGCCTAGCAGAGCCATTGCAGCCATTTGGGAAGGGAACCAGTGGATGGAATAGCTTTCCATCTCTCCCTCTCTGTCACTCTGCCTTTCAAATAATAAAATCTGGGGGAAAAAAGGTTCATTTGGGTACAAAAACTTTTTAAAATCCATGGATAGTTTTTTCATAGTACACATTTTTCATGAGCTTATTGAAGCCCCCTCATATTTCCTCTTGGAATCAATAGGTGTTTCCTCAACCTCAATATTATTTAAAAATTAGGACTCATTTTCCACCAAGACCACTCCTACCTCTGAGCTTTCCCATTTCTGTCGTTGATACGCACTCTTTTCCCAGTCACTTGGGCACATAAAAAAATATGGGGCCATGGGAATTGTCCACAATAGAATGAGCTCCCTGATAAGGTAGAGTCTGGCACAGGGCGCTCGATAAATATATATCCAGGAGTTTGTAAAAGAAAACCCAAGGGCTGAGGATGGACTGGTGATTTATGGTATCCTTTCTGACTCTACTTTCTTCAGTCTTCCTTCTGCCCCATCTATGGACTTGCAGTTCTTCATATTCCCAGTGCCTCAGGCTCTTATCACCACAAATGTGGTCCTGTTGTAAATGCTGACAACCCTTTCTCTCTCGAAAACACCATCACCTTCAGAAATAATTTCTTCAGTTATCTTGGAGACATTTTTAAGTCATACCTCTTCATCATTTTCCCAGCTGAGAATAGAACCAGAGGCCTATTTGGGATACCTGCATCCTGTGTCTGTGCCTGGGTTCAAGCCCTGACTCCTCTCCTGATCCCAGCTTCCTGCTAATGCAGAGCCGTGGGAGAGGCAGCAGTAGTGACTCAAGCGGTTAGGTATCTGCCACCCATGTGGGAGACCTGGATTGAGTTTGCAGTTCCTGGCTTCAGCCTGGCCCAGCCCTGAACTTTATAGGCATTTGGAGAGTGAAAGCATTGTGTGATTTTAATGTCACACGAAGTTCATTTGTACAGGATTCAGTCTGAAACTAGAAAAGTCCTTCCAAGTTCACATCTAGCCCTAGTTATGGGTAAAACCCCTCTAAACCATCTCAGATGAGTGTCTCTTGCATTAGTTAACAAAATTTTAGCAAAGAAAATACCTGCATGCAGTTTTGAAAATTGTGGTGTAAGGTGCCATTGATAAAAACCAGTGGTCCAGGCCGGCGCCGCGGCTCACTAAGCTAGTCCTCCACCTTGCGGCGCTGGCACACCGGGTTCTAGTCCCGGTCGGGGCGCCGGATTCTGTCCCGGTTGCCCCTCTTCCAGGCCAGCTCTCTGCTGTGGCCAGGGAGTGCAGTGGAGGATGGCCCAAGTGCTTGGGCCCTGCACCCCATGGGAGACCAGGAGAAGCACCTGGCTCCTGCTTTCGGATCAGCACGTGCGCCGGCCGGAGCGCGCCGCCAGCCGTGGTGGCCATTGGAGGGTGAACCAACGGCAAAGGAAAGACCTTTCTCTCTGTCTCTCTCTCTCACTGTCCACTCTGCCTGTCCTCACATAAATATATAATAAAAAAAAGAAGTCAGAAAGAGAGAGTGATCTTCTGCCTGGTGGTTCCCTTCCCAAATTGCTGCAACAGCCAAGGCTTGGCCAGGCTAAAGTCAGGAGCTCAGAATCCAGTCAGGTCTTCCATATGGATGGTGGAAACCTTTGTACTTGAGCTGTCATCTGCTGCCTCTCAGAGCGCTCATTTGCAGGAAGCTGGATTGGAAGCAGAGTAGGCAGGATTCGAGCCAGGCACTCCGATATGAGATGTAGACATCCCAAGCAGTGTCTCAATCGCTGCTTCAAACACCCATCCCATGACCCCTTTCAAGTTAATTATTTGTGTATGGTACAAGACAGGAGTCAAAATTCAATTTTTCTAGATAGATATAATATATCCAGACTGTTTCCCTCCATGGAATTACTTAGGGCCCCTCTTAAAAATGGACCACGTATACATGGGTCTATTCTGCATTCTCTGTTCTGTTCCATGGGTCCATGTGCCTGTTCTTGACTCAAGTTCACCGTCTTCATTACTGTAGCATAAAAGTCTGGAAATCAGGTGATCTAAGTCTTTAAACTTTGTTCTTTCTCAAATTTTGCTCTTTTAGGTACCTTGCATTTCCATATAAATTTTAGAGTCGGCTTATCAGTTTCTTTTTAAAAAAACATTTATTTACTTATTTGAAAGGCAGAGTTACAGAGAGGCAAAGGCAGAGAGAGAGAGAGGTCTTCCATCCACCGATTCACTCCCCAAATGGCTTAGCCAGAGGTAAGCCAATCCAAAGCCAGGATCCTGGAGTTTCTTTAGGGTTTCCTACATGGGTGCAGGAGCCCAAGGACTTGAGCCATCTTCTACTGCTTTCCCAGTCACATTAGCAGGGAGCTGGATTGGAAGTGGAACAGCCAGGACTTGAACCAGCATCCCATGATGCCAGTACTACAGGCAGTGCCTTTACCCGCTTTATCACAGTGCCGTTCCCCAGTTTATCAGTTTCTTTTAAAACATCATCTGGGGCCGGCGCCTTGGCTCACTAGGCTAAAGCTCCACCTGCAGCGCCAGCACAGCGGGTTCTAGTCCCAGTCGGGGTGCCGGATTCTGTCCTGGTTGCCCCTCTTCCAGGCCAGCTCTCTGCTGTAACCCGGGAGTGCAGTGGAGGATGGCCCAAGTGCTTGGGCCCTTGCACCCGCATGGGAGACCAGGAGAAGCACCTGGCTCCTGGCTTCAGATCAGCATGATGCACCGGCCGCAGCGGCCATTGGGCAGTGAACCAACGGCAAAGGAAGACCTTTCTCTCTGTCTCTCTCTCTCTCACTAACTCTGCCTGTCCAAAAAAAACATCATCTGGAAATTTGATTGGGATGTCATTGAATCTACCAGCTGATTTGGGGAGAAGTGACATCTGAACAATATTTAGAATCTTCTAGTCTACAGATGTAGCATAGTTTCTGTTTATATCATCATTAATCCCTCTTAGCAGTATTTAATAATCTTAGGTATATAGGTCTTATCCATAATTTACCAAAATTATTCCTAATTATTTTTGTTGATATTGTGATAATGTTTTTAAATTATTCATTTTTATTATATAAAAATAGAGTGGGGTTTTGCAAATGACCTTATTTCTAAATTTATTTTTATTTTTAAAGATTTATTTTATTTATTTGAAAGAGTTACAAAGAGAGGTAGAGCCAGATAGAGAGAGGTCTTCCATTCCCTGGTCCACTCACCAGATGACCACAACGGCCAGAGCTGAGCTGATCCGAAGCTAGGAGCCAGGAGTTTCTTCCGGGTCTCCACATGGGTGCAGGGCCCAAGGACTTGGGCCATCTTCCACTGCTTTCCCAGGCCACAGCAGAGAGCTGGATCAGAAATGAAGCAGCCAGGACTCAAACTGGCGCCCATATGGGATGCCAGCGCTGCAGGCTGGGGCTTTAACCCACTGCGCCACAGTGCCAGACCCAAAATTAATTTTTTTAGATCTGATTTTTTTGTTTGTTAGAAATCATGGAATTTTCCGTGTTCACAATCACGCTGTCTGTGAATAGTTTCAGTCCTTCCTTTCCAGTGTGTTTGCCTTTAATTTTCTTCTCGCTTTGCTGCTTTGGCCAGGACCTTAGTGCAGTGCTCCGCAGAAGCCATGGTAGCAGACTTTCCTTGCGTCGTTTCTGTTTTTGGAAGAAAGTCATTCATTCTTTTTGCCACTAAGTATGATGTTGGGTATGAATTTTCATACATACCTATTACCAAGTTGAAGATGTTCTCTTCTAGTCCAGTTGGTTGGGAGTTTGCTAAAAATCATGGATTAGTATTGAATTTTCTCAGGCGACTTTTCTGCATCTCTTGAGATGATTGTGTTTTCCCCTTCGCTTACTCAGTTAATAAAGTAAAATGAAATTGACAAAATAACAAAGAAATAAAAAAATTTACAAAAAGGAGACATAAAACATTCATTGAAGTTGTTGCTTATTTATCAACAACTTGAAATAGGGCTGGGTATTTGGCCTAGTGTTAAGATGCTCACATCCCATATCAGAGTACCTGGGTTAGATACCCGGCTCCAGCTCCTGATCCCAGCTTCCTGCTAGTGCAGACCCTGGGAGGCAGTGGGGATGGCTCAAGCAGCTGGACTCCTGCACCCAGGAGACCTAGATTGAGTTCCTGGCTCCCGGCTTCAGCTTGGCCCTGTCCTGGCCATTGAAGGCATTTGAGGAGTAGACCAGCAGGTGGAAATGTTTTGTGTCTGTCTCTGTCTTTCACTGCCTCTGGAGTAAATACATAGAAATTAAACCAAAACAACTTAAAGACACTTTTGAATACATTGACTCCTTTTTTAATGTTAAATCAGTCTTTTATTCCTGAGATAAACCCAATTTTGTCTGTGATATTTTATGTTTTTAGCCATTCTGGATATAATCCCTAACTATAAATAACAGACATAAAACAGGATGGGGTGATATGGAAGAGATGTATTCACGAAATGGCAGAAGCTCTTAGAAGTATGTAACCAAATGTAAAGCTTAGTGGAAGGATTAAAAAATAAAATTGAATTCATCTCCTGCAAAGCATTTTTATCTATAAATAAGTATAAAATTAGAGGTTGAATCTAGAAGTACACCGTTAACTATTAGGAATTCTGTAAAGTGAGAACAAGAAAAAAAAAAACGGAGGAGACAAATGTCCAAGAAATAATACAAAAATGTTTCCAGAATTGGAGGGCCTAAATCTCCACACTAAAAAGGCAGACCAAGTGCAGCCTACAAAGCAGCTAGTTCAGGTGGCGGCGGCAGCACAGCACTCTGGGAAGGCAGTTTCCTGGAGGAATTTGGAATTGATGAGTTTGAATATATGGGAAGAAAATTTGAAAAGGCAAATAGCAGAAGTGTTGGAGTATTTGGATAAAGTTTATAGTTGTATGGGAAACCAAACAAGTGAACAAATGTGTTCTTAGCTCTGGGGGACATAAGAGGTGTACAAGGAAGGAGACATGCTCATCTCATAACTCTTTGCATAGTCATAGTAATGTAAATGTGGACTATTAATTTAACCAAAAATTATGTCAGAACTCTGTTGGGAGAAGAAGGGTAGGAAGTAGGGTGGAGGAAAGTAAAATTGGAGAGCTTAGTTTTCATCTGCTGTGATAGAAGTTTTTAGATAAATTTCTAAAATTGATAGATCATAGCCATATAAACATTATTTAAGAATGATGATTAAAATCAGGATAACGGGGCCACCACTGTGTCGTAGTAGGCTAAGCCTCTGCCTGTGGCTCTGGCATCCCATATGGGCGCCAGTTCTAGTCTGCATTTCCAATCCAGCTCCTGCTATGGCCTGGGAAAGCAGTGGAAATGGCCCAAGTGCGTGGGCCTCAGGACCCACATGGGAGACCTGGAAAGAAGCTCCTGGCTCCTGGCTTCAGATCGGCTCAACTCTGGCCATTGTGGCCATTTGGGAAGTGAAACAGCGGATGGAAGACCCTTTTCTGTCTCTGTCTCTGTCTCTGTCTCTGTCTCTCTCTGCCTCTCAAGTAAAGAAATAAAATATTCTCTAAAAAGATCAGGATAACGCAAAAGGATTGAAGTTAATTGTCTTTGGGAAAGAGTCACTACGGGATTGGGTCGAGAAATTTAGAAATTAAAGAAATCCATATAATAACTTCCTTTTCTTATAGAAATTGCAGAATCTGCATGGCCAAAGTACATCCATGTCTAAGATCAGAGTTTTGGGGCTGACGCTGTGGAGTTTCTCTAAACAAATCTTTAGACTCTGTAAATTTGTAAGTGTAGTGTCATGCTTTGAGTAGTGGCCCCATAGGCAGTTTTTGGTAATCACAGACTTTGTATAAAAGGAGATTTGACTAACTCAGTTTGTTTTTATTTTTCTTTTAGGTTTAAGTTTTTGAAATTGAAGTAGGTCTACACATTAGGAACTCATGTCTTTTCTTGTAAGTAAACCAGAGCGAATTAGGGTGAGTGTTTCTATTCTTCTTCTTTACTATTTTTGTTTTCTTAAGAGTAAAGTGTTTGGGGAGATTCTTGGATGGTTTTATATGTGATGCTCAGAGCCGTGCAAAATGAGAGCTGTAGGAAGTAAGGCCGCTGAGAGGAAGGCTTGTCGGCACAGAGTATACAGCCGGTTTGGTTGATAAAGACACAGGTGTTCCGTGAGCTTGTTTGACAGAGAAGAAACAAGAAGGTGGCTAGTTTTATGAATGAGTCCATAAGTCATATATTACATAAGCTGATGGCCTTATGGATGTACATATATAACTGCTAATGATCTCCCCATTTCCTCTGTGTTTTTGATGAGTTTGTGCTTTTTTAAATCAGTATCAAATTGTAATAGCTGGAACACTTAAATAATGATTAGTTTCAACTGAAGACTTCTTTTTATCGGAATATGAAATATTTTATTATACCTAAACCTTTATGAGCTAAAATGATTTCAAGAACAAATACGGATTTAGCTTCTTTACAAGCTCCCATGAGTTCTTAAGAGTGTCTTATTTTGTTTATTATCACATATTTAATTTCTAAATGTAATAGTAATTGTTTAAAAATTTTAACAGTGTGAAAGTGCAGTGAGACATGAGTATAGCACATCTTTAAATATTAAAGTATAAATTATGTAATGTGGTATAATGCATATAATTTTTGTATTAAGTTTTTTTATTTAGAATGTTATTTCTTTTTTAATTTGGAAAAGTAATTATAAGAAAGAACAGAGAATAGTTTTACAGTTCCAAGTCCCAAACATATTATGCAACTTATTTCTGAATGTTACTTAATCGTCTTTTTTCTTATGTATATAAGAACAATTGATATTGGAAAAGAGTGAAGTTCACTGTATGAGGAAGAAGGGAGTCTCTCCTTAACCTGAACTCAACTCAGTGGAAAGAATGCCCCCACGCCAAGCTTTGACACCAGACCTTAAGTGAAATACAATCTTGATTCCATTACTTTTAAATATGAGCTTTTCTATTTCAACCTAGCCTGATTCAGGTGAAACCAGACCAGTGCTCACTGATGGGAATCTGACACTCACTTGAAATGGGCCAGGAGAGCAAGCCCTGGATTGATCCTGCTGGTTTGGTCATTGTGGACTTGGTAGCAAATGTAAGCAGCAGCCTCATTAGAAGCTGCTGCCAGAAAGAATGCGCAGCTTGGTGTGCTTCCTTCGACAAGTGAATAGAATCTGTGAAAAACTGGTTCATCCCTGTTTTCTGTGTTGTGAATTCCAATAATGCTTCTGAGACGGGCATTAATGATCTGAGGCATCTGTAATAGGTAGTTCTGGGATGAGTAAGGTAGAACCAAAAGCTAGTTTTATATACAGGAAAGACAAAAACATTCTTTGTTATTAGGGTCATCACTAAGTATTTCTCATCTGTCAGATTTAAGGGTTATCTATCAAATAAGGCAAAGAGGAATAGAAAAAGGAATTAATCTCCTATTTTTAGTTGATTTCAAGATTCTTCTCAAAACTTTTTCATGGAACTGTATTCTAACTGTTCTGCATGATTCTATTTTTGTAGTTGTGTTTTTGTTTGTCTCTGAAGGCTGAACATTAATCTTCTGTGGCTTGGAAGAAAGATACTAATTCTCTTTGGGGTTTTCCTCTTTAGCGGTGGGTCTCGGAAAAGTTCATTGTTGAGGGCTTAAGAGATTTGGAACTATTTGGAGGTAAGTACATATGGCATCTAGCCGTCACTTCAGAGTAAATGTCACTGAGCTTTTGTTGATTAAATCAGTTTATGAAAATTAGCAGTTTTATGGGCAGGTGTAAACCGCAGTTGTTGGGTTTATTTGGCTCCTGTTTGAATCCATCCTTTCCCACATGTTTGAGGATTGATCCAGCAGTTGTGTTAGCCTGTCCTGATTGTCAGAAAATCTATATTTACTTAAAAGGCAAATGTATTTCTCCTAAGTATTAGTCCAGTGGAAGTACATATTCTTAAAGGAAAAAAAAATGAAATGGTTAAAATAACCCTGAAGATTTAAAAAACAAAATAATAATCAGGACAAAGGTAGCCATGCTATAAATGTTCTGGCTTTAATGATCAATCTAGTTGACTCACTTCTTTATGATAGAAATTATGAGGCTTTAAGAGACTAGGAAAAATCTGTCATGGCAAAAATATCAACTTACTATTGTAAAGTAAGTATTGATTCAGAAGTAAAGTAGGTTTGCAGTTTTGAGGTTTAACAAGTTCAAGATTGGCCATTTTCAAAGCAAGACTTCTTGGAAATATGATCTTAATGTAGAGCAAAGCAAATTCCTTTCTTTAATAGTGACAGTCGTAGTACCCTATTCTTTGAATGTCAGAATTCTCTCTTGGGATCCTGTCACTAGAGAAGTAGGTTGACACACTGAGTGACACACTGAGTGTTAATCCAAAATACTCCCAAATAGCTAAATAATTAAATCCTCAAACTTATTAGTTACGAGGTAGCACCTATTAATTCATACCCCTAATTATCTCATATAACTTCTAGAATCGTATTATTGGTGAATTGTACCAAACAATTGTGTTTTGAATAAACAACAGTTTAGAGAAATGATGAGTTATTTTTGTCTAAGTTATAAAGAATAAAAATTAGCTGTTCAGTAAAGGAAAAACTAATGGTTCTGTTCTCATTCTCTTCCTATCATTAATGGAAATCAAATAGTTTGTTTTAAAATGGTGTTTATGGAAATTGGTTTGGAAGTCCAGTTTACCATGAATTGGTTACAGACATTTTAGTGCATACGACTTAAATTAATTGGTTTTGGTCTCAGGGTACAGAGTATAGGATTTCTGGCTTTTAACAGTGCACTCGTCTCTGATCTGAAGGTGAAGAGATTGTTCTCTATGTTGTTACAGTTTGAGAAAGTCTGTATTACCAAATTGTATACAACTTGAAATCTGCTCTGTACTCTGGAAGATTGGGTTAGATTTCCCATAGTTCCTTCACCTGGCTTCTTACCATTGGCAGACCCCTTTGTTTTTTTTTTGTTTGTTTTGTTTTGTTTTGTTTTGTTAAAGATTCTATTTATTTACTTTGCGAGGTAGAGTTACAGACAGAGGGAAAGACAGAAAGGTCTTCCATATGCTGGTTCACTCCCCAAATGGCCACAATGGCTGGAGCTGGGCCAATCTGAAGCAAGGAGCCAGGAGCTTTATCTGGGTCTCCCATGAGAGTTCAGAGACCCAAGTGCGTGGCCCATATTCTACTGCTTTCCCACACCATAGCAGAGAGCTGGATCAGAAGAGTAACAGTTAGGACTAGAACTGGTGCCCATATGGGATGCTGGTGCTGCAGGCAGAGGATTAACCTACTGTGCCACAGTGCTGGCCTGGGACACCATCTTTACCAATTGCTTCTGCCCTATGTGTACCAGAAAACTGATGTGTTGGCATGGGGCAGGGGAATCTTGTTTTGATAAACTGAGGCTAATTTTCACAGGTGCCAATATCCTCTAGCAATACATTAGAATGCTTTCATGGATCTTAGGAGAAAGCGTGTTTTTTTTTGTTTTTTTGTTTTTTTGTTTTTTTGTTTTTGTGACTGGACTTGCTCCTCTGATTTTGTATAATTCAAGATATTTGGAACTATATAATCACCCTAGTACCTTACAGTCAAAAGCATTCACTTTCATAATCTGGATCAGTTGTACAGACTAGAGAAAATCAAAAGCATATACAGAATTTGTCTTAAGAGCAGAAAATTATTTCAGTTGTCCTCTGCTTTGTTTATTTTCACTCAGAGTAGCAGGGTGCCCAGAAGCCATTGCTTTATTTGCATTTAGAATGGAAGGTATCTGACTTTAAGTTTCTCAAGGTTTCAGACTTCAAAACTAGCCTATTCAAAGTAACATGGTGTGTGATGAAAAGGAAATGTTTGACAAGAGCTGCAGCAGTGGAGTTAGACCCCATGGAGAACAGTAGAGTAGGACCCTTGCCAGGTTTGGGGAGCCACAGGCTAAGCCCCACCCTCTGCAGCATTTTTACTGTGGGTCCGTGTGTGTGTTATGTGCAACACTGCAGGCCTTTCCCGCTGGAATGACCCTCAAGTGGTTGCTATTAATAAATGTAGTGCTAAGCACAGTGGTTGCTGTTCTGAATGTGGGTGTGTCTTGTGCTGAGAAACAACACGCCAACCATTGATTTCTCTACCCCAGAGCAGCCTCCGGGCGACACTAGGAGAAAAGTAAGTGGTTTTCTAGGCTCTAGCACGGTGGCTGTTGCATGGACGTGACTTCTTATGGAAGCTTGTGTGTTTCTCTTGGCTTACCATTTTCTGTTCCTGCTCATCTGTCACTGAGCTTTCTGTGTTACATTATCTTTTTACTTGTGAAGATTCAGGTTTCACCCCGGAAAGACTTTGATGTGTAATGGAGTTTGAAAACTGAAGCACTTCCTGTCTCTTCTGGGGATGAGAGTCTCCGCCCCTTCCCAACCCTCCTGACCACCACGCCCTTCCCACTGGTAGTTAAGTTTCAGCAGTCTGAAATGTGGTCTCTTTAACTGACCAGTGGCACTAAATTTTCCATCTTTAGTCTATTTCAGTCCATAGAGATAGCATAAATCTTTGTCTAGATAGTAGGGCAGGACCTTAAGTCTGTCTTAAGAACAAAACCAAAATGGAAAAGTACAAAGCAGAAAATGTACTTTTTTCATTTGTAAAAGCTGCTAAACTTGCCTTGCTTCTCCCTCTTCCAGTTTATTTACCCACAGAAATAGCACCAGATGTGCACAGTGCACCAAGCTGTTTTGGAAAATGTGAATCAGTGTCTTATAAAGGAGAGGACAAGAACTTTTTCTAAGTAGACTCTGACCCTGTTCAGATTACACACACACAGCTTTCGCAGGAGTCCCAAGGTTGAGTGAAGGGTGATGATGTGGCCAAGGCGCTCCCCTCTGTGTCCAGCTGTGGCTGTGCCGAGCAGCTGCTCATCAGACCTCTGTCAGATCTGGTATTTTCCAGTCAGGAGACCAAAAAAGGTCCTATAGGATCAGTTATTTCTCCTGAATACAATGCCAGTTGTATGTAAATTTTATATTTTCACAACTAATACTCTTGTACCAAAAGTAATCCCGTGTGAAACCTGTGGAAAGTTGAATGTGTTTATTTGCAGGCATTCCATAGCTTCTGTCTGTGTATGCTTTATTGTGTCTTTAAAAACTCTTTAAACAAAGTTGCCATTTTATGGTCATTTCTGGATATCAGTAACATATGCTTTTCAGATGCTTCTAAACAAAATACTTTGTGTGGTGTGAGAAACTAAGAAAATACGTGGGTAGAATTATCTTCTTTCTCTGAGCAATTTAAGATTATGCATTACACTAATAAAATTATGCCATGCTGTGTTTCTGAAGAGAATGAGTTCTATAATTGCATCCCTTTCATCTGAATTTTGACCTTTTCCAAATCCGGGACAGTGTAATGAACTAACCTGCCTTTCTGGTGGCCCTGTCAGACCAGGCTCCTTCCTTTCAAAATCCTGCCTTGGTTTCCTGGTGTGTTTGTGTTGCTGGATGAAGACTGGTCTGTCTCTGAGTTCAGACCTACAGAGCAGCCCACAGTAGAAAGCTTCCGTTTCAGGATTGTGTCCAGTGAGCTGGGGGCAGAACGGTGCAATCACTTGACTCGTTTGTTTCATGCAGTTCCAGGTTGCCCCTGAACTCAGGTTCCCAGTTCCCTAAGAAATTTTGTTTTCTAAAACTAATACCTTTGTGTAGTCTTCTATGCTACTGAAAGAGCAGAGACATTTGTCAGGTTGCTGACTACACACATTGGTAACTAAGGAATCGCTCCCCTACCGGCTCAGCAAGAACATGCCCTAGTGCACAGCCTGGCAGACAGCAATACACTCTATGGCTCGTGTGCTCTCCTGGCAAGGAGGAGGGAGATGGATAAAGTACACGTAATAAACATCTTCATCTCAGGACTCGGTGCCCTTCTTAGTCTTTAGAGAAACACTGAGGAGTTTGCTTGGAGATAGAGGAGAAAAGACCCTTTAATACAGAGTAGTTGCTTTTTGCTGGGGCCATACTGTTGCCTACTTTAAAAGTGCAGGATTTTCTCACGCACTGGAGTGCGCCTCCTAGTGGGGACCTCGTGACTGTTACATGGGGGCGGCATTTCCAGGATAGGCCGGATGTCAGCGCAGTCTAGAGGAGCTAGCTGGTATGCTTCCCCTCCTCCCCCTGCGCCCATGGCAATGAAAGTCACAGCAGAAAACCTCTTAGTTCATCCTTTGCTTAAACGATTCTTGTGTTTTAAGAACGTGCCCGCGTTGTTCTAGGCACTGGGGAGCACGGCTGTGGCGATGCAGGCAAGGCCCGTGCCCTGATGGAACTCGCGCTCCCGCGGAGGGGATAGGCAGCGGGAAAATAAGCGGCAGAGGTGACGCCAGTGAAGGAAGAGAAGTGAAGCGACGTCGCAGCGTGACTCAGAGCCTAGACCGTCTTCTCTGGAGAGATGACCCTGGAGATGGCAGTGATAAAGGAGAGGCAGAGGAGGAACCGGCGGGGCGGGGCGGGGGACGGAGTTGGGCAGGAGTGTTCCCGGCAGGTTTCTCACTTGTGCAGGGAAGTGCAGCCAGGTCACTGGAGGGTGGGTCCGGAGCGGAGCTGAGTGCTGCTGAACACCGGGCGTCTCTTCCGAGAAGTGCATCGTAGGCGAATATCCCAGAGTGAGCCTACGTGTGCCAGCAAGACTGCGTGATGGCGTCACAGGCCACAGACCTCACAGGACCGCCGCTGTCTGTCCCTGGCCAGAACATCAGTAGCGGCACACGATCGTATTCACAGAGCAGAGTAGGGGAGGGTCTGGAAGCAACCCGCTGAGTTTTCTGTTAATTCATGACGTTGATTTCATTGACGGTTAATACCTGAGAAGACAAGATGCGCAGAGCAAACCTGAGCACAGGCAGTCGGAGGTGTAAGGCTGAGGAGACGGCTGCTTCAAGACTAAATTGTGTCGGTCCCACACAGACAGGGGTCAGCATCTCAGCGCTCTCCGTTTAGACTTTTTGCTCAAATTGCTGCCCTATCTTTTGTGTCTCCCCCTGTATGAATGAGCTGGCGTGTAGTGATCAGTTTTTTTTATTTTTATTTTGTTTTATTTTTTATTTTTTGACAGGCAGAGTGGACAGTGAGAGAGAGAGACAGACAGAGAGAAAGGTCTTCCTTTGCCGTTGGTTCACCCTCCAATGGCCGCCACGGCTGGCGCGCTGTGGCCGGCGCACTGCGCTGATCCGAAGGCAGGAGCCAGGTGCTTCTCCTGGTCTCCCATGGGGTGCAGGGCCCAAGGACTTGGGCCATCCTCCACTGCACTCCCTGGCCACAGCAGAGAGCTGGCCTGGAAGAGGGGCAGCCAGGACAGAATCCGGTGCCCCGACCGGGACTAGAACCCGGTGTGCCAGCGCCGCAAGGCGGAGGATTAGCCTAGTGAGCCGCGGCGGCGGCCAGTTTTTTTATATATATATATGTAAGATTTATTTATGTTAGAGGCAGAGAGAGAGGGAGGGAGAGAGAGAGAGAGATCTTCCATCTGCTGGTTCATTCCCCCAAATGACAACAGCCAGAGCTGAGTCAATCCAAAGCCAGGAGCTTCTTCCAGGTATCCCACGTGGGTGCAGGGGCCCAAGCACTTGAGCCGTCTTCTGCTGCTTTACCAGGCACTTTAACAGAGAGCTGGATCAAGAGTGGAACAGCCGGGACTTGAACCAGCGCCACAAGGGATACCAGCACTGCAGGCGGCAGCTTTACCTTCTATGCCACAGCGCCGGCCCCAGTGACCAGTTTCTTAAGAGGATTCTGAAATGAGAGTTTCAGGAAGCTGCAGTAGCAAGCAGATGATCCTTGAATTTGTTTTCAAAATGTTTGAAAGCACAGAGAATCATAAAAGCCAAAATCAAATCACCCTTCACTGTTGATCAAGCTCCACTCAGGATTGTGTGTCTGTTCCATTTTATTTTTCAAGCAGGAAGCACTAAGGGTAGACAGCGGCTGAGGGAGAAGGATGGAATGCACATATATTGGATGGCTGCCAGGTACCAGGTGGCACCACGCTCTTTCTGTGTTTTATCTCCTCTAACAGTCACAGCCCTCTGAGCTGGGACTCATTCCACTGCTGACATGATGGAGCGCCCGAGAGGTTAGCATGATTTGCTCAGGGTCACAGAGCAGGTGATAGACCTGAGTTCAAATTCTGCCTCTGGCTGACCCCGACTCTGTGGTCTTTGCATTACTTGCATATGCTTTACTTAAAGTGGTCTTCCCCGAGTTCCCTTTCCCAGATTTCACAATGTCAGGTTCCAGACAAGGCATCTTTGGGAAATGCTAGGTTAAACAAAGTCAGGCGAGTTTCCTTGCTGCAGAACTTCTCAATGCCCTAGATACAGGAATGCACCTGGTGATTCTCCAGGGGAAATGGGCTGCATTTGGCACTGGGAAGTTTCTTCCTGCACTAGCTACCAGGCTCAGTGTTCTGTGGGGCTGACACAGAGGAGATCTTGTGCTGAAAAACTCAGTAGGAAAATGGACAGGAAACAGAGGCAGGGTTTTTTGAAAAGATTTTTATTTATTTATTTGAAAGGCAGAAGTGGTGGTGGGGGAGGTCTTAGATCCGTAGGTTCGCTCCCCAAATGGCTGCAATGGCCGGAACTGCACTGATCTGGAGCCAGGAGCTTCTTCCGGGTCTCCCACGCGGGTGCAGGGGCTTAAGGACTTGGGCCATCTTCCACTGCTTTCCCATGCTACAGCAGAGAGCTGGATTGGAAGTGGAGCAGCCGAGTCTTGAACCGGTGCCCACGTGGGATGCCGACACTGCAGGCTGCAGCTTTAACCGTTAGACCACAGCGCCTGCCCCAGAAAGAGGCATTTTACCTTGGAGCAAATCTACATGGTTTGTAAAGATGCTCACTTTATTAGTGATCAGGGAGATGTAAATCCAACCCACCTTGGGATTGGCAGAGGTGAAGACGTCTGCAGAATCCGAGCAGGGGGGAAGGTGGGTCCGTGGCACAGACACGCACTTCTGCTGGGAGTTACATTGGCAAAGCCTTTTGGAAGACAGGCTGTGTTATCATAGAGTTGACCCTTCCCATACTCTGTGACCTAGCAGTTGCATCCGATCCTAGACACAGGCTTTCATCAGAAGACACACCAGGACGTGCTTCCAGTAGCCCGATTCTAATGTAGACCTGAAAGACAACCCCAGATCTCAGCAGGGTTGGAATGGACCAAGTGAGGTATATTCACTAGACAGATGTTACACAACAGTGGCGTTGGCTCAAGTACAGCTAAATACAGCAGTGTGGCTCAATCTTAGAAATATAAAAGATGAATTAAATTAGAAAATGGGATTTGTTAACAGGGCTCGATTTTGTTTGACAGCCTTCCGCTGACGTCAGTGTAAGTGGTCAGGGAGACAGAGTCCCATTTGGTTTCTGTCCCTATCGGCAGCATCAGCTGCTTTGAGAATAAATATTCACAAAACGCTCAACATGGTGGTGTGTTAATTTCTCTGGCTTAGACCTGGGTCCTGTCTGTGCTGTGAACTCAGGTTTTGATTTTTGACAAGTCACTTAATTGCCCTGGCCGTCATTTTTGTTATTAAAAAGTAAAGGTAAGAGGTGTGCATTGTGGCACAGCTGGTTAAGCTGTCGCTTGGGACACCCAGCATCCCATACTGCGGTGGTGGTTCAGGTTCTGGCATCCTGGGAGGCTGCAGATGATGGCTCAAGTGCTTGGGCTCCTGGCCCAGGCCTGGCTGCTGAGGGCATTTGGGGAGTGAACGAGAAGATGGAAGAACTCTCTGTCTCTGTGTCTCTCTCAAGCAAATGACGATAAATCAATGTTTTTTAAGGGCAGCACCATCTGTGCCATATACTTCACTGTGGTGAAGGTCAGAGGCAATGTGGATGTGCTCTGAAAAGTCCTCCCGTGGGGCTGTCCGATGACAGGCGTGGGGGGTGGAGTGCTGGCATTTTATTTTTATTTATTTATTTATTTATTTTTTATTATTTTTTGACAGGCAGAGTGGACAGTGAGAGAGAGAGAGACAGAGAGAAAGGTCTTCCTTTGCCGTTGGTTCACCCTCCAATGGCCGCCGCGGCCGGCGCGCTGCGGCCGGCGCACCGCGCTGATCCGATGGCAGGAGCCAGGAGCCAGGTGCTTTTCCTGGTCTCCCATGGGGTGCAGGGCCCAAGCACCTGGGCCATCCTCCACTGCACTCCCTGCCACAGCAGAGGGCTGGCCTGGAAGAGGGGCAACCGGGACAGAATCCGGCGCCCCAACCGGGACTAGAACCCAGTGTGCCGGCGCCGCTAGGCGGAGGATTAGCCTAGTGAGCCGCAGCGCTGGCCAGTGCTGGCATTTTAATGGCTCCTCTGCAGTGCTTCTCTGTGGTTGCTCAGGCCCCACCTGGGCAGAGCAGTCCCAGGTCGCATTTTTCAGGCCTTCCGTGCATTAGCGAAGGTCGTCTTCTGACTAGAGGTCAGGTTTATGAATGTGGTAAGTGCAACCTGAGTGGGCCTAAGGTTTCTCCATTTTGGTTAGACACATCTGAAGAGAAGGGTCTACAAGGAAGTAAGATGCTCACCTTCCCTAAAGCGTACACATAGACGTGGGTCTAGAAGACGGAAGCCGAGCCCGTGGGGTGAGAGAAGAGCCGCCTGCAGCGTGTTTTGCCGTCACACTCGGGCCCCTTCCTTCACGGCCTCCGTGCTGGAGGTTGACGTCCACGTCCTGAGTGGCTGGGCTCCAGCTTCACTCGCAGCACAGGGGGCAGGGACGAGGGAGCAGGGCATCTCTGCCGCCTGAGACAGCGGAGACCCCACAGCTCTGTCGTTACTGCTTTTTTATTTTTTAATAGTCTTTAAAATATATTTGTTTATTTGAAAAGCAGAGTTAAGGAGAAACAGATCTTCCACCCACTGGTTCATTCCACAAATGGCCGCAGCTGGCCAGGCTGAAGCCAGGAGCCAGGAACTCCTTCTGGGTCTCCCATGTGGGTGGCAGGGACCATCTTCTGCTGCCTTCCTCGGCTCATTAGCAGGGGGCTGGGTTGGAGCAGAGCAGCCGGCATCAGAACCAGCACTCACATGGGATACTGGCATGGCAGGCGGCAGTTTAACCTGTTGTGCCACAATGTCAGCCCGACAGCTCTGTCCTTGGCCTGCAGTTTGCTGCACAAGGTGTTTGGTCACTTCACTTGGAAATGTCAGGGAACGACGGGCCTGCGCTCCTGGTTCACTAAAGATGGGGCATCTCCTGCTGCATTTCCCCTAGGGTGAGATTCAGCATTTGACCTTTGGGGATCTTGCCGTCTGTAGTCAGACTCTAATGCAGCAGAGTTTGAGGGACTCTCCCCACTGCCCCTCCCCCAGCCCCTTTTCTTTGCTGTATGTGCCTTTCTCCAGTCAGTCTTTCCCCGTGTGAGATTTCACTGTTTTTAGCAAATGAGGCCACTGTTAGCAAGGACAGGCAGGTTGGCAGTTGGCTGGGCCCTGTCCAAGCATTGCAGGTATAGTCAGCCCTTCCTCGCTCTCCTACCGATGCTGGTCATCACAGCGAACACCTGATATTTTATTTCTCTCCGAATAGTGCTGGCACTGTCTTTGCCAGAGAACCGGGATCCGTATGTTTGTTCAGATGCTGGTCTCCTCGTGGGTCTGAATTACTGCCTCGGTCCCACTCCCTGCCTCCCCCCAGCTTTCTCTGTTAACATATCTTTCTTTTTCTTTAGACCAATGAGGCGAGCTCAGAGTCGATAGCATCATTCTCCAAACAAGAGATCATGAGCAGCTTTTTGCCCGAGGGAGGGTGCTACGAGCTGCTCACTGTTATAGGTAATGACTGGGTCTGCCCTGAGTTCCTGCTGGGGCACAGCTGCAGCTCTCGGCATCCCTGGCTGGCCGGGCACCAGGAGGCCCCCAGCTTGTTAGGCTTCCTGATGACGAGACCAGCTTTTGTGGGTCGTCCGTGGTTTTCGACCTCCCAGTGTGGGGAGAAGTCAGGTTTCCAGGAAAGCAGTTCTTTTGCAGTCTTTCCTACGTGGCCTCACTCTTCTCGTGTCTTGTGCCACAGGCAGTTAGGATGCCTGGCCAAGAAGCTGATAGGAAAACACCCAAGAAAAGCCCTCCATGAAAGTGACAGTAGTGAAAATTTAACTTGAATTTTCTATTAGAATTAAGTCCCTTTTTCTTAAAGGAAGATAAATAACCATTGTTGTCCTTGTGAATGGCATTCTTATTTCCTCTTTTCTTTAAGGCAAGGGATTTGAGGACCTGATGACCGTGAACCTAGCCAGATATAAACCGACAGGAGAGTATGTGACGGTGCGGAGGATTAACCTGGAAGCTTGTTCCAATGAGATGGTGACATTCTTACAGGTATAACAGGAGTGTGACCTGGACGATAGGCTCTTGGCTCCAGGAGTGACCGTTCAGCCATCTCTCACATGGGTTCCCTGAAAGTACCTGGCAGGAAACAGTGGTAGACCAGCACTGGGAAACGGGGGAGCTTTCAATGGGGGCTCACAGGATGGGGCTGTGATACTGCTCAGCCCAGTTGAGAGTCCCCTCTTCTTCTCCAAAAGGCCCTTCTGTCTCATTTATTATTCAGAGAGGCTAAATCACTTGCCCAGGGCCACACCCCCTAGTAGATGGTAGAGGCAGGTCTAGCCTGCCTGCATGGGGGCGCCATCTGCTAGAGGCTCTTAGCATCCTTCTCCTCGGGGCCAGAGGATCCCTTCTGGTGGAGAAGGAAGCAGCCACCCTCTTGGTAAACCTGGGGAGACAGCAGTTGGAGACACTGGCCAGGGCTAAGCTCTGGGGTCTGGCTCAGCGTCTGCTGCATCAGGTACTCGCGGCCACTCCTCCTTCATTTCCAGTTGTTTTCTGAACTGGTGCTTACCTGCTTGCTCCAGCACCAGTTCATCCATTCAGAGTAGTTCGCTGCGCTGAGGATGGAGAGGTCAGTCCAGTTCAGTTATTTGAGAAAAGACATGCCTGTGTGCTGGTGCACTTGGGACTGTACGGTTCTTTGGGTTTTATTCTGTGAAGCAGTGACAGGTAGAAGGTATAGCCTGTGTAGCTTTAGCTTATGTCCAAAGGCCAGGACGCTGGCTTCTGTAGTTCTTTGTCCAAAACATTTTCTTTTTACACTTCCCGTAGCTGCTCCTGATGAAGACATCTCTCAGTCATGGGTTGCTGGAAAACAGCTTCTAATGTTTATTGGTCGTCATTTGTTCTCTGATACCTTTCCTTGTGTCTTTCAACTATAACACTTTCACTTGTAATAGAAAAACATTTGTTTTTCTATCATAAAGAGGAGTTCTGTGCCTCAGCCCTGAGGTTGAGCTAAGTTTCTAACTTCCTAAGTCTTCAGTCACAGTTTTGTTTCCCTCAGAAGTGATGACTGGGACCCTGGGCTGTGCTAACCTGTTGTGTGTGGCCGGGGCCGTTCCCCCAGCTTGTGCGGACTGGCTGCAGGGCCTCTCTGAGGTGGAAGCTGGCACAGCAGCCTGGCTCCCTGCACAGATCTGGACCGCGTTTCTCCTCTTGGGGCGGCTCCAGGATCCTGAGAAGAGCACCCAGAAAGTGCCGGTCCCCAGATTGTTCACCCTGTCCCCATCAGGTGGAGCGTCAGTGACCCGAGTCATCAGTCTTCAGTGCCCTGGCTTCTAACTTCAGCTTTCCCATTGCTTTCAGGGGGAGCTTCATGTCTCTAAACTCTTCAACCACCCCAACATCGTGCCCTACCGAGCCACCTTCATTTCAGACAACGAGCTGTGGGTTGTCACGTCATTCATGGCGTACGGTGAGTGGGAAGGGGCTCCTGGCAGAGAGGGCTCTGAGAACTCTGTGGTCAGACTGCTGGTCTGTAGCTTCCCTCTGTGACCCTCCCTCCCCCACCCCCAACTCCTGCTCAGGTTCTGCGAAGGATCTCATCTGCACGCACTTCATGGACGGCATGAGCGAGCTGGCCATTGCTTACATCCTGCAGGGGGTGCTCAAGGCGCTGGACTACATCCACCACATGGGCTACGTGCACAGGTACAGCCTGGGTGGCCTCGCCGTGTTCTAGAGTGGGTGTCTGTGGCTGTGAGCCCTCCGAGAAACATTTTTTAAAAAAAAATATTGATTTATTTATTTGAAAGGCAGAGTTACAGAGAGGCAGAGGCAGAAGCAGAGAGAGGTCGTCCATCCGCTGGTTCACTCCTCAGATGGCCGCAACAGATCTGAAGCCAGGAGCCAGGAGCTTCTTCCGGGTCTCCCACGCAAGTGCAGGGGCCCAAGGACTTGGGCCATCTTGTACTGGTTTCCCAGGTCACAGCAGAGAGCTGGATGGGAAGTGAAGCAGCGGGACTTGGAGCGGCTCCCAGATAGGAGGCCGGCACTGCAGGCAGTGCTTTACCCGCTACGCCACAGCACCAGCCCCATCGGGAAACATTTAAGGCTGAAGTTAGTGAAGCCCAAGTGTGAAATCATGGATCTGGATTCTGATTTTTTTTTTTAAGATTTTATTTATTTATTTGAGAGGTAGAGTTACAGAAAGAAGAGACAGAGAGAAAGGTCTTTCATCCGCTGGTTCACTCTCCAAATGGCCACAGCTGGGCTGATCCAAAACTAGGAGCCAGGAGCTTATTCTTGGTCTCCCATGCAGGTGCAGGGGCCCAAACACTTGGGCCATCCTCCACTGCTTTCCCAGGCCATAGCAGAGAGCTGGATCAGAAGAGAAGCAGCCAGGACACGAACCAGTGTCCATATGCGATGCTGGCACCGCAGGCAGAGGCTTAGCCTACTATGCCACAGCACCTGCCCCTGGATTCTGATCTTGAAACTGACTTGGGGGACAGTCATTTAACCTGTTGAGCACTGAAACCACTAACCTTGTCCTTACTGAGCAGCTTGGTCCTGAATGTTGTGGGAGAGTAACATCTTTTTAATTTATTTTTTTATTTTTTTACAAGATTTATTTATTTATTGGCAAGGCAGAGTTACAGAGAGGCAGAGGCAGAGAGAGAGAGAGAGAGAGAGAGGGAGGGAGAGAGGCCTTCCATCTGCTGGTTCACTCCCTAGATGGCTGCAATGGCCAGAGCTGCACTGATCCGAAGCCAGGAGGAGCCAGGAGCTTGCTCTGGGTCTACCACATGGGTGCAGGGACCCAAGGACTTGGGCCATCCTCCACTGCATTCTCAGGCCATAGCAGAGAGCTGGATTGGGAAGTGGAGCAGCCAGGACTCGAACCGGCACCCATATGGGATGCTGGCACTGTAGGCAGCGGCTTTAACCGCTACACCACAGTGCCAAGCCTGGAAAGGGACATCCGATGTGACCCCTCTCCCCATTTCCTCCTTCCCCCTCGTGTGCCTGAGTCAGTCTTGAGCCAAAGGGCGGAGCAGATACAGATCGCTCAGTAGGGAGTGTCAGGAAAGTCGGCTCACGGTGAGGCAGATAGAACGAGACCCCCATCTAACTCCACACACAAAGGGGGCTGCAGGCGGGCTCAAGGCCTGCGTGTAAAAGGAGATGTGAGCAGATGCCTTTGTGACCTGAGCCATGGAACTTCACCCTTTTTCCCCTAGATTGATTGATTGATTGATTTGAAAGGCAGAGTTACAGAGAGACTGAGATCAGTCTTCCATCCACTGGTTCACTCCCCAGATGGCTGCAATGGCTGGAGCTGAGCCAATCTGAAGCCAGGAGCCAGGAGTTTCTTCTGGGTCTCCCATGCAGGTGCAGGGGCCCAAGCACATGGGCCATCTTCTACTGCTTTCCCAGGCCACAGCAGAGAGCTGGATCTGAAAAGGAGCAACCGGGACTAGAACTGGCACCCATATGGGATGCCAGCACCGCAGGTAGAGGATCAAGCTACTGTGCCATAGCGCCGGCCCCTTCTCTACACTTTAGAGGCACAAAATATAAAGCAAAAATTTGATGAATTTGATTTTGTCAAGAACAGCATGACTAGATTTAAGAACTGGGTGACAAAGTGAGTTGAAGAAGATTGTTAGATTTGTCAGAAAGTTTGCAAAGCAACAACAACAAAAAAATACAGCAAAGCAATAGAAAAATGCAAAGGATATGGAGTTTGTAAGAGAGGAAACCCCAGAGACCAGCAGTCTCAGGAAACATAAGAGGAAAGCGAGTATGAACATGATTGTCAGCGGTGAGGCGGCTGGGGGAGGCCCAGCGCAGTGAGGATGTGAGCTTCTGGCTAGATAGTGCACAGGCCCATCGGGGCTTGGAAGTGTGTGTCATTGTCTATTCCTGTGCTGCCCAGATGCAGTGTGTGGGCTCCTCCCTGGGAGAACAGGTGAATAAAGTGTTCTGTCCCACCCGTGCTGAGATCCAATTAGAAGCAAAGATCGGGGGCTGCCGTTTTGGTGCATGGGTTAAGCCATCGCTGCAACACTGGCATCCCGTATCAAGTGCTGGTTCAAGTCTTGGCTGCTCTGCTTCCAGTCCAACTCCTTGCTAATGTGCTTGGGAAGGCAGCAGGTGATGGCCTGGGTGCTTGGCCCCTGACACCCATGTGGGAGACCCAGATGGAATTCTGGCCCAGCCCTGACTATTGCAACCATTTGGGGAATGCACCAGCAGATGGAAGATCTCTGTCTCTCCTTCTCTCTATCACTTTGTCTTTCAAATAAATAAATAAATCTTCAGGGCAAAAAATCAACAAAGGTCAGATATAAGCAGAGAACAACACAGATGGGTCTTGAAAACATGGCACAAATAAAAAAATGAGGTGCATAACGCAGGACCATCAGATGTATTAAATATGTGCCTATAGAACAATGGCCTGTTTTAGAAGACTGTCTGCACTCAGAAAGTACAGATGAAAATCATCAGTAGGAGCAGAGAGAAGAGGGGGCTGTGAACATGACAAGATACAAGTAAGTTCCTAAATCTAGTGCTATGTAGATGGGGTCATGTTATCATTACCTTTAACTGTTCATTTGAAATGTTCATGAAAACACGTTTGCGGGCCGGCGCTGCAGCTCACTAGGCTAATCCTCCGCCTAGCGGCGCCGGCACATCGGGTTCTAGTCCCAGTCGGGGCGCCGGATTCTGTCCCAGTTGCCCCTCTTCCAGGCCAGCTCTCTGCTGTGGCCAGGGAGTGCAGTGGAGGATGGCCCAAGTGCTTGGGCCCTGCACCCCACGGGAGACCAGGATAAATACCTGGCTCCTGCCATCGGATCAGCACAGTGCGCCGGCCGCAGCGGCCATTGGAGGGTGAACCAACAGCAAAGGAAGACCTTTCTCTCTGTCTCTCTCACTGTCCACTCTGCTTGTAAAAAAAAAAAAAGTTTGCATGCATATAATATGTGTATATAATACCATACAGTGCACACACACAGGAGACAGCTGACCAGAGCTAGTGTGTAAAGACCGAAGGTTTATAGTATGAGGGGTTCCTGCTGCTCACGACACCCTCCCCGCCTCTCCCCACCCCCCAGGAGCGTCAAAGCCAGCCACATCCTGATCTCTGTGGACGGGAAGGTCTACCTGTCTGGTTTACGCAGCAACCTCAGCATGATCAGCCATGGGCAGCGGCAGCGTGTGGTCCACGATTTTCCCAAGTACAGTATCAAGGTTCTGCCGTGGCTCAGCCCGGAGGTCCTACAGCAGGTCTGTGCCCGGGGTCCTGAAGTCCCCACCTCTCCCACCAACTCAGGATTTCCCAAAGAAGCCTTCAGGAATTTCCTGGGGTGGGGTGCTCTCTACTTCTGAGTGGAGTTCGGGGTGCTGGAGGGAGGGCTCCTTGTTGGCCAGGTGGACCTGGGAACCTGTAGTGGGGGCATTGTGGGCCCAGTGCAGATGGATGTGGTGTCCCCTGAGGGGGTCCCACACTGTATGTGACACTCTCTGTTCCCTTTGGGGGACTACTTGGTGCTCTGCCGATCCCTGTGCTGAGCAGAGCGTGGGGCCTGGCCCTGCCCACTTGGTACAGAGCATTGCCAGACCCGTGTGCCTTGTCCGGGCCAGGTCACCTGCAGCAGTTAGGCCCCGGGATTGTGGGACAGGCATTCTTTTCCTGTCCTTAGCTTTTGCCCGTGTTTCTAAGAACAGAGCAGGGGCTGCAGATGGAGTCACCCGTGGCTTTTCTCTCCTGTCGTAGAATCTTCAGGGGTACGACGCCAAGTCTGACATCTACAGTGTGGGGATCACAGCCTGTGAACTGGCCAATGGCCATGTCCCCTTTAAGGACATGCCTGCCACCCAGGTGAGCCCACAGCCTGCTGCCTGCCTGGGACCTGCTGAGTCCCTGCCACACTCCCGACTGCAGTAGGGTCACTGAGGTGACAGGCACAGCGTGCTCCTACGGAAGTCCCACCAGGGGAACTGCTGTGCACTCTCCTTCACTTCCCTGCGTGATGAAGGCCAAGGGCCTGGAACCCAGCCCAGGGAGGGAGCCAAGAGCAGACATGCGGCAGAGGCACGCTTACCCTGTGTCCACTGAAACGCTAAATCAGGCCAGCCCATTTTGATAGGTGGGCCTTGATGAATACGCCTGGGAAGTTCGTTTCTGACTTAGAGTCCTCAGAGTTCTGTGCCCCCACCTTCAGGACCTCCACCATGCAAGTTCCGCTTCTGTTCGTGCCCCTAAGATGCCTGCCCTTTGGCCGCCCCGAGGGCCCGGTGCACAGCCGGTGGCAGAGGAGAGGCCCAGGAAATGGGTTTTTCCAGGCCCCAGCGAAGAAGTGGGCTTGGGGTCTTCTGGGCAAGAACGGGCTGGGTGAACTGGGAGGGGTGGGGCTCAGGCTCTGGGCAGGCCTCTCCCTTGAGCCCGAAGACCGCTTGGCTGGCAGGAGTCAGCTCGCGTATGGGCAGAGCGCGTCCCCTAGAGCAGGGGCCCCACCCAGGAGGCTTCGGAGAGGAGGCCGCACTTGCACTGGGTCTTAAAGGCAAATAGTGATTAACCACGTGAAGAGCAGGAACTACGGGGACCACTGGAAGGGTGAGGGAGCAAAGACACAAAGCCTCACAGGACCCGGGTCTGGAAGGAGCAAGCAGCTGTAAATGGCGGATGGACTGGGTGCTGCGAAAGGAACAAGCACACACCATGGGGGCTCTGTAGGTGGCCCTCGGGAATCTGATCCCTGACCCGAGACACGGGGCCATCACAGCACTGCAGATGTAGCACTCGGCAGATGAGTTACACCTGGGGCTGTTAGGCAGCTGTGGAAATCTAGGGCGGGAGATGGGAAATCTGTGTCCATTCAGTAACCCAAGGATGGCCAGGAGAGGTAAGAGGCTCCTCGGGCTGAGCCAGGGCGCAGGCCCAGCAGGCGTCGCTGCAGCGACAGAAGTGCCGGATCCGCAGGTGCAGCGTGGCTGCGCACGTCAGAGGAGGCCAGTGAGGAGGAGGGTGTGCGCTGCCTCCCCGACTCAAGTCAGCCGCCGCACGTGGCTCTGGAGACTGCCAGGTCGGCTTCTTCAGATTTTCATGAGGACATCCCCAAGGACAGCAGCACCTGAGCTGGCGCTGGCTTGACAGGAGTTGGGTGCGAGGGCTTTGGAAGAGCTGCGCAGGCCTGAGCTGGCCCGGCGCCCATCCCGTGCACCTGCCGCAGCCACAACTCAGGACGTGGAGCTGCAGGTGCTGCCTTGGGGACCCCATGGGACCCACCTGGGCATGGCGAACTGGAGCTGTGCTCCAGGATCCCCGGGCGGCCGCGCTACCCTAAGGTGGGGACTGTACAGTTAAGGGGATCCGATTGGCAGAGGGGGAGGGGAAACAGCCCTGGCGCCGGCCATGGTGAAGGGGCCCCCGCTGGGCAGCCCACTCCTCCACACGTTGGCCCGGAGGATGTGACGGCCACGCAGCGACCAGCATGCCTTTGAGAAGTTCGGCGGACGCCACTGGCGTCTGCACGCCTGAGACAGGTGTGACGCGCGGGGACTCTGGGCCTCCGGGCCTCAGCCCAGGCCTGGCTCGCTCCTCACAGATGCTGCTGGAGAAGCTCAACGGCACGGTGCCCTGCCTGCTGGACACCAGCACCATCCCCGCCAACGAGCTGGCCATGAGCCCCTCCCGCTCGGCCGCCAGCGCCGGCCTGGGGGAGAGCCTGGCCACGGGCGCCCCTCGGCCCTCCAACGGCGACTCGCCTTCCCACCCCTACCACCGCACCTTCTCCCCCCACTTCCACCACTTCGTGGAGCAGTGCCTTCAGCGCAGCCCGGACGCCAGGTATGGCCCGCGGCCCGGGCTCGTGCGGGAATCGGGGGCGCTGTGGAGTCGGGCCGGGTCTCCAAGGTCCTGCAAGGGCCTGGGGGATCTGGAGCCCCCACTGCAGCGGGGCTCGGCTCCTGTGCTCTCTGGCTGTTCTTGGGGAGGGCACTGGTGACGCGGTCTCTTGTCCCTCTCTCCCAGGCCCAGTGCCAGCGCCCTCCTGAGCCACGCTTTCTTCAAGCAGGTACCGCAGCGCTGTCCGTGGGCTCCCTGTTTCCTTGCTGTGGTTCTGACTACCCACAATCCCTTAGCTTTGGGTCTTAGGCAGTCTCCTGTCTGGGGAGTTTGAGAAATGACCATGACCCTGAAGCCCTGTAAAGGCACTACTCCAGCCCTGTGGCCTCTCGGTGTCCCGGGGCCCGGAGCAGCGGCGCCCATCAGCGACTGTCTCCTCCCACCCCCGCAGATCAAGCGGCGCGCCTCCGAGGCCTTGCCCGAGCTGCTCCGGCCCGTCACCCCCATCACTAGCTTTGAGGGCAGCCAGTCCCAGGACCACAGTGGCATCTTTGGCCTGGTGTCCAACCTGGAAGAGCTCGAGGTGGACGACTGGGAGTTCTGAGCACCGTGGAGCCGGCCCGCTGGGATGTGTGCGCTCCGCCCCAGGACTGGCACGCCTCGCCCTCCTGCAGCATCCCGGCTGGCAAGGACTTTCCCCGGGGAGAGCGGCTCTGCGGACTGCGACGGAGGTTCTGGAGAGACTTTCTTGCCGGCCGGAGCCCGGGGACACAGGGCTGTCTGGAAGCTGCGCCCCCAGCCTTGGGAGCGCAGGAGACTGCCCAGAGGGAAGAGGGGTGGCCGTGGCCCCTGCGCGGGGTTTGACACACGCCCAGGAAGCCCTCACCTCCGCTTGCCCCCGCCTGCTCTCCTGGCAGCTGAGTTCCATCCTCCCCTTGGCTCTCAGGTCCCACAGGTCGAGAGGAGGGGGGTCAGGTGGTTGGCAGCCTGCCCCCCTCCTCCCCGACCTCTCCCAGAGCCGGGGGGCGGGGTCTCTCTGGCTCCGGGAGCACCAGGTGCAGGCTGGGGCCATGCAGCCTCAGCTGCTGTCCCTTGGGCCCCCACACCATAGGTCAGCTGTGTGGCTCATTCCCTCCCCACCAAGAATCCATCCTCACACCTGCTGCCGGCTGCCTCGCTGCTTCCTCCAAGGGCCGGCACGTCTGCCCTCACCCCAGGGCTCAGTTCTTCCTGCTGGGTCAGTTTTGTCAGAGCAAATTAAAATTTTCAGTCTGGGAGAATCGGCGTGTGTGTGTGTGCGCGCGCATGTGAGAATCAGCATGTGTGTGCGTGTGCGTGTGTATCAGCACAGGGACTGCAGCCCCGCTTCCCGCCTTCCCTCCTGTGAGGACTCACTGCAGACCCACCGGCTGCTTAGAAAACCCTTGAGAGTACTGCATTGATTTTAGCCTGTGGCCATCAAACCGCTGTGGGGCGGCAGACCAGGCACTCCCCAGGGCCACTTCCGGGCCCAGAGGAGCTGAGGCGGAAGGCGTCTGGGCAGGAAAGGAGGTGCAGGGTTTTGTCCCGGAACCTGACTTGCAGAGTTTCCCTGCTGTCAGCACCCGCAACACCCGAAAGCAGGGGCTGGCGGGCAGCGTGCACGGTAACCATAGCCCGGCTCCCGATGCCTCCTGGTCCAGAGGCCGCTGCAGAGGTCAGGTTAGGGAAGTGCCCCTCCCTCTCAGATGCCCCCAGTCCCTTTCCTCAGAGACCTTAACACCAAATTAGAGAGGAAAAAGAAACCCTCTGGGGGAAGGGAGTGGCACCCAGTGGGGGTGGGGGGGAGGGGCAGGGCGGGTCACATGTATTTCCAGCCCCCCCCAGCTCCGTTTCTACTCTAAGCCCCCCCAACACCCCAGCACCCTATCAGTTTCCTTTCCTTCCTCATTGCGGCCTGCGCTGTCAGCCCATCCTCCAGCCAGAGCTGCCTCTCTGGCCGGCTCCCTGCTGCTGGGCCCACAGATGCCCTCCAGGGCCGCACAGCCGATGACAGAGGCGGAAACTCCCCTCCCCGGAGAGAAACAGTTGTGGAGGCTTCACACCCACTCGCCACCAGGGTCACCATCAGGTCCAGTGCACAGGCAAACACACGTCTTCCTCCGAGAGGCACAGGACGTGGCGTGGGTGCATGCAGGGAGCCAAGGAAACTGTGGGGGGGGGAGGCGGTGAGGCCACCTGCCAGCTCCCCGGCCTGTTCCCGCGTGGGCTGTGTGCTGGAGCCACCGGTTCTATTCCTGCCGCGGGGTGCGAACACGCTGTGTTCGGGGCCGTGCTTCATGAAGCAGCTTGCAGCCCGATTTCAGGCAGCACCAAGCAGTCCCTGGTGCTCAGGGAGCCCCAGCCTCCCAGCAGAGCTCCTGTGTCCCCCCAGCACCCATGGGTGACCGCGGCCTGCCTCCTGCACGCCTCTGCCCTTCCGTGCGCTAGGCAGGGCAGCTGCACCTGTTTGGTTACCCGGAACCCTCACTTTGAGGGCCAAGCCTGGCGCACGAGGTGAAGGTGTCTCGTCGGAGAGATGGAATTAGGGTGCCCTTGTCTTCCCGGGGGTTATCAGTCCCCACATACGCTGGCCATCGGAACGCCAAGTCTCGGGAGCGTGGTGCTCTGGGGAACCAAGGGCAGCGGGTGGCCTGGCCCTCTCGTCCATCCACAGGGCGGCAGGAAGGCGCTGACGATCGGTGACCCCACCGGGTCGCCCGTACCATACGGCTCCGTGCTGACCTGCTGTTCCCGGGGCCCACCTGGGTCTCGGAGCCTCGCGGCCCGGCTTGGCGGGACCGCGTGCCCAGCGCCGCTACCACCTTCCTCCGCCGCCGTGGGGACGCGTGGGGGCGGCCCCTGGTGGCGTGAGGACTCCGTGGGCGGAAAGGGTGCGGGAGCGGGCCTCTAGAACCCCTAGGCCCCTCCGGGTCGCTGCCTGGGCTCTGAGGCTGCAGGGACGCCAAGACTTGCGTCCACAGAGACCAGCCAGGGGAAACTGAGGCCCTGAGGCGGGAGGGCCGCGCCAGGAGCGCCTAGTGTCCTTCGACCACAGCCGTCTCAACCTGAACTTGTCCCCGCCCAAGGGATGCGGTGCGGGGGTCTTCCCGCTCCTGTCTCCGCCGCCGCCCCTCGCCCACGCGCAGCCGGCCGAGGCCCTGGCGACGCCGGGAGTGGGCAGACGGAGAGGCCGGTTCGCGGTGGCCGGCGCGCGCGAGGCCCGAGGGGCGATGCGGGGTTGGGGCGAGGGGCAGACAAAGGCGGGGGACGGCGGGCGAGGGAAAGACAAAGCGCGAGGGGGGTCGGCGGCGGCGCCGGGGCCCCGGAGGCGGCTCCGGGCGCGGCGGAGCCAATGGGCGGGCGCGGGGCGGGGGCCGGCGGGGGCGGTGCCGCGATAAGGCGGCGGCGGCGGCGGCCGCTCGGGGACCACTGGCAGCGGCGGCAGCTGGCGCGCGCGCCCTCCTCACACCCGAGGCGCCCCCTCCCTCGGAGACCGACCCCCGCCCCACGGCCCAGGCCGGGGCCCGGTGAGAGCCGCGGGCGGCCCGGGGTGGGTGGGGCTTGCGTGCGGCTCAGGAACCGCGGCGCCGAGGTTGGGGCGGGGGGGTGCCCGGCGAGGGCCGCCGCCCGCGGGGTCCCGCCGCCCAGCGACTGACTCCGCGCATCGCTCTCGCTCGGAGTCCCGGAGGCTCGGCCAGCCCTTCGGCGTCGCACAGCCCTCGAGGTCCGGAGGCCGAGGAGCGGGGCGCACGGGCGGCGGCGGGGCCCGCGGGCGCTGTCCAGGAGCTTGGCAGCGGAGCTGGGCGGCCGGCGGCCTCGGAGCCGCCACACGGCGCTGGGCAGCGCTGGGTGCGGGTCAGGCCGGGGCAGCGGGTTCTCACCGCGGCCCCGCCCCGCGCGCCCCTGGCCTCCTCTCACCCTCACCCCAGGCGGGCGCCCGTCCCGCGGGGCGCCCTATGGCGGCTTGCGCCGGGCGCCTTCTCCCGCGCCGGCCCTCGCTAACTTTGTTCTCGCTGCACACATGGTTCCACTCAGGGACCCCTGCCCCTGGGGGAGCAGCGCGGGGGGCGGGCGGGCGAGGGGGGAGGTGGGTGAGCGGCGGAAGTGGCAAGACCAAGAGCAACAGGAAATGACTTAGGGAAAGTCCCAACCGCAGCCCCCCAGCCCCCTGCCTGTAAACACCCCCACCCCTGCAGGCTGGGGGAGGGCTCGTGGGGCCCGAAGGGACCGACTTCCCCTTGCAGAAACCAGCGGGTGCCGCGCCTCCACCCGGGGCCTCCATCACCTCCAACGAAGCATGTTCCAGGCTGCGGGAGCCGCCCAGGCCACCCCCTCTCATGTAGGTGACCAGCCCGGTGGGAGGGGGCCCCCGGCAGGTGCCCTACCCAGGGGAGAAGGGGAGAGGAGCACGGGCTTGCTGTCACCTTTGTCCCCTCTTGAATGCCCCGGGGACTGGGCAGGGGCATCCCGGAGCTGAGCCCTGCCCTGCCTGTCGGCCTCTCTCCCTCAGGAAGCCAAAGGCAGCAGCGGCAGCAGCACTGTGCAGCGCTCCAAGGTAGGGTGCGAAGGGTGGCTGGTGGCCGTGCGGAGGAGGGGACGGTGCCGCCAGGCCCCTGGCTGAGGCTGTCTCGGCACAGTCTTTCAGCCTGCGCGCCCAGGTGAAGGAGACCTGCGCCGCCTGCCAGAAGACTGTGTACCCCATGGAGCGGCTGGTGGCAGACAAGCTCATCTTCCACAACTCTTGCTTCTGCTGCAAGCACTGCCACACCAAGCTCAGGTGCGCCCCCTACCGGCCTGCCTGCCTGCCCCTTCCCTTGCCTGGCCGCCCTGGGCCGCCCTGACACCGCTGTTCTTCTGCAGCCTGGGCAGCTACGCGGCGCTGCACGGGGAGTTCTACTGCAAACCCCACTTCCAGCAGCTGTTTAAGAGCAAAGGCAACTACGATGAGGGCTTTGGCCGGAAGCAGCACAAGGAGCTGTGGGCCCACAAGGAGGTGGACCCCGGCCCCAAGACAGCCTGAGGCCACGCTGACCTTCCACTCCCTCGGCAGAGGGCCTGGAGCTGGGCAGTGGAACGGGTGGGGAAGAGGTGGGAGCTGGGATTGGGTTGGGGGGGCAGGTTGGGAGAGGGCCGGGCCTGCACAGACAGAAGCTTCCGTGGACAGGGCTCTGCTCCAGGATTCCTTCCTTCTAAAGTAGGTGGGGGTGAGGGAACCAGGATCGGTTTGGTCGCCACCCTGCTTCCTGCTTCTTTGAGCCCACCCTACCCCATGGCCGTCTGGGAGGCCTGCAAGCCCAGCTTCCCTACTTAGGTGCCTTTTCTCCAGCAAGGAGTCAGCATGCCCCCCTCAGGGTCCTCAGCTCCCTCACTGCCGACCAGGGCTTTGTATGGCCCCCCACCCAGGTCTCCCCATCTACCTCTGCCCTTAGCCTGGTCCTGAGCCATGGAGACTGGGAGGAAGGAGAGCGAGTGCCACCTGCTGGGCCACATGGGAGCCGCCACGGCCATGGGGGAGGGGATGGGGAAGTGCAGCCCACTGCCCCCATGGGGCTGGGGACCACCTGGCACCACCTGAACCACAGCTGAGAAGCGGAAGCTAAAGCGCCCGCCAGGCCGAGCACCTCAGAGACTGGCAGGGGGCTGGCAGTGGCCATGTTCCCCTCCCCCCTTGTTTCTGCCCCTTCTGTTGTGATTGCCCCATTTTAAAGGTGTTTGAACAGATTCCGACTCTGTATTATGTGGCCTGATGGGGGGCTTCGTGGTAGGAAGGCTGCAGACTCTCCACAGGGAAGGGAGGCAAGGCTAGGGTCAGCCCAGGATACACCTGGCCACGGTTGGGGGGCACTGGCGGTGGGTGTCAGACTTGAGAAAAGGGGGTGCTCTCCCCACCCTCGGCTCTGTGATGTTAGACCCAGAAGGGTTTTCTAACTGGAACCCTACCTTGTTCCCTTAGCTTTGGGTTGACCAAGATGCCCCAAGCTGACAAGGGCAGTGAGACGCAGGGGGCGGGAGTGGGGGCTGTCAGTGGGTGGTGTTCCTGGCTGTGCTGCCTGGCAGAACCCCTTCTGCAGGGTCCTCGGAGCCCCCTTCAGCCCTTGGCCTTGGCTGTCAGCCAGTGGGAAGCCGTAGACGCAGCAGTGCTGCCGAGGGCCTTGGTGACTGCCCACCCCGCCCCCGCTGTCATTTTCCTCTTGCCTTTCCAAGCTCTGGGGTCCAGAGCTGCAGTCCCAGGCTGGAGAGAAGAGGGCCATCTGCTCCC